CTCTGTAGCTTTGGAGCCTGTCCTGGAACTAGCTCTTGTAGACCAGGCTGGTCTCGAACTCACAGAGATCCGCCTGCCTCTGCCTCCCGAGTGCTGGGATTAAAGGCGTGCGCCACCACCGCCCGGCTCCCAAAGACTATTCTGAATACCCTTTCCTGTAAATCAGAGTGTTGCTTGGTGCCCTCCACCCCCAAAATGGTATTCATGCATTATCCATATCTTTCAGAAATGCTCATCTCACCTGTTCTCATTGGCCTACGACGCCAACTCACTGTTCCCCGTCATCCCTTCCCAGGCAGCCCTTGGCTACTGGGTTGTTGGTTTTTTTCAATGTATAAATTCTGACATTTCCCTCTTCTGGGTACAGCAGAGATGCTTCGTCCCTCTTCTTCATCTTACAGACAGCTCCATTTAAGTCTGTTTAGCACCCACAGTCACAGACACTTGCTTTGGCGCATTGCTGGAGGAAGAGGTAAACCCTCTAGGCATGCCTGGCAATTAATCCAACACAGAGGCAGCAGCAGCAACAGCAGCAGGGAAATGATCAGAGATGGTGGAGTGTTCGTCCTTCCCAGAGGTCTGGGTGGTAAAGGAAGAAGAAGGCTGTACTGGATATACAGTATCGTTGAGAAAATTTGCAGAAGGGAAGGCTAATGGCTGAGAAGGAATCACGTGAATTAGTTGTTTATTAGGTAATCAGTGCTTCAAGTTTGGAGGCATTTTCGAAGATTGGTGAGGTGGTCACTTTACAGAGAGGCCCATGATGGCTCTCAGAAGGTTGAAACTCCAAAGCTTTATATTATTCAATAGTGGCTATGGGATGACAATCCCCATGTCTTTCTCAGTCACTGTCCTTTTCAAAGACTGCAGATTTATGTGTTTTTGTCAGTTTTACGGGCTTAGCATAATAACCTTGAAGAGGTCTTGCATGGGTAATATGTATGGGTTCAAATAATTGATAATGGACAAATCGTAGTGTCAGACTTCCCCAAGTCCAAATACAGACTTGAAATTATTTTTGTCAGCTGGGTGTGGTAGAGCACAGCTTTAATCCCAGCACACTTGAAGCAGAGGCAGGTGATCACTGTGAGCGCAAGGCCAGCCTGGTCTACATAGTAAGACCTTGTCTACAAACAAACAAAACTAGATAGACAGAGTAAAGTATCATTGGTGTGTCTTGAACTTTTAGTTTGAGAAACTCCCATTGGCCTGAGCTCCAAGATTCTTCTGATTCTGTTTCTACTATTGTGGTGGCCAAGCCAAATAGTATCTCTGCCCCTTGTTTCTGCCTGGTTTGCTGGCTTCCTTTCTTTATCCCTTTTAAGAGGCAAGAGCCTCATTCAGGAGATACCTAAAGGTCATTTGTGGAGGCTGCTCAGCATCACAGAGAACTATGGGTCCCTTCTCCCGGTGCCCTTTGAGAGGCTTTCAGTGGGCTTATTCCAAGGCACTTGGCCCGTTCTCCTCTTGGTGGCCATATATCCTAGCTACTGGTCACAGCCACAGGCTGAGATCATGTAAGCTCTTACACAGAGAAGCCATCAGATCTCCTGCCTCCAGTTAGTAGATTTCCCTTCGAGACAGGACAGCTGTGGAGACTTCTCAGATGCGGCAGGTTCAAGTGGAGCCACCCTAAGCTTGCGGAATATGGGATGGAGGCCCACGGAGACCAGATGTCCTCAGCCACATTCCCACATCACCTGCAGCAGCCCCAGAGGCAGACCTGCAGACCTGGTGCTTAGAAACATGGTTTTAGATACATCCTCCATCTGCCATTGCATCTTTCTATAGGTGGAACTTTGGAGTCCTTGCCCTATGCCAAACTGTCGAGAGAAGTTCTTACCTTTGATGGGTACTTGATGGAAAAGCGGGGGCAAGGATAATTTCAATGATTTCTCTAACTCCACACCACTGTGGTAGATCAACCCCTACGTGAGGAAGTTACCTAATTCAGGCACAGTGCTAAGTATTTTTGAGCATTATCTCATTCATTCTTGACCTCAAAGATAGAAGAGCAGTGACTTATTCAAGAGCCACCCATCTAACAAATGGCGTAGACTTTATCAAATCCAGATGTTTCCCATCTACCTGGTTGTCCAGTTACCATGAAAATGGAAACCCGTGTGTCCTAAATTGCCTGGTTGAGTTACTGGCAGAGGGGGTATGCTGGTTTCCAGGCACTGTTTTCCTCCTGAAGGAATTTCCAGACTCAAGGTGTGCAGCGGAGCCAGTCAGCATTTGGGGTGCCAGCTACACGCAGAAAGATTCGGGAGCCACCAAGCCTGCCAAGGCTCTCTAGCGCATCTTATGTGGGTTGAGATTTAAGTTAATTATTAGAAATAATAATTTAGGCAGCAATGAACCCTGCTACTCAAAGCCAGATCTAACTAACCCTATAACAGCAGATCAGTCATCCCCAAATTATATGCTTGCTTCCCCAAATTTAACGTTGTGGTGTGTTCTGCCGTTCCTGAACATCGCGGGCTCTTCGATTAGACTCAATAAATCACCATTTCCTACCGAAAGGTTAGGCAGGGGTGAAGGGAAAACGATGAATTTTTCACTCATGCTAGAAATTCTTTAATCTTTTTGGACCCACGTTTTCCCCAGGCCTGTTTTTAAAGCCTGACTTCCTTCCAGTATCATTTTACATCCTTATTAATTTTTTAGAGGATGGAGCAGAGAATGCCTCATTAAATTTTCGTGTCTTCAAATGGGATTGGTGGCGAGTACTAAGAGGCCCAATTAAGATTCATAATGATTTTTCCAGGTTGCATTAGATGTACACAGCCTGGGGAGGGTTTAGCGTTGATAAGCACCAAGTAGTGGGCCCAGGGATATGAGAAATCTGAACCACTGGCGAAAGGGGGGAGCCTGCAATAAGATCCAGTGATGCGATACCTGAGAAAGGCACATCTGGATTTAGTCTGTGAGAACCATGAGGTAATGGCGTCTCAGCAAGGACCAAGTGTGTGCTGTAGTTTGCTCTTGAATTTGGACACCTGCAACTAAAGAATGTCAAAACCTCGGGAAAGAGTTGCCGCATGACTCAAAGCTTGGAAGGTAGCGTCCATAACAGAATAATATACAATACAGGCCGTGGTTTTTTTTTTTTTTACTAAAATGAGATACAATTTAGTCATAGTATCCAAGTACACAGCTGACAGTATTTCTTTGCTCCTGGGGATGCTCAGAGATGATTTGTTCTTACGGTGATAGATGTCTTCAATTTCAAGCTCAAATGGGTCAGAAAAGGAAGAGAGCAAAGGCTGAGCCAGAGTCACATTGTGCCTAGATGCTGATAATTCTTCATTATTTGGATCATAGGGATCATATGAAAGAATGGGGAGTAAGGGAATATGGGCTCCCTGATCAGAGATCTCGAAGAATAGCACAGCATGTTTATAGGTGCTTGGGTCTAGCAGAGCTGCTCAGTGCAAAGGCATAGAAGTCTTCTAATGTCTTGGGATTCTGAGACGTCTTTACCAATGGAGCCAGCCTCCAGTACCTGGTCACTGAACCATCCAAAGTTGTCTGTTATGGGAAGGCAGTTCCTAACCCCACTCCACTGCCACAAAGTCCTGCTGGGTTTTTATTAGGATTGCATTTCTTATATTGCTTAATTTATGGTGAATTGACATCTGCAGAACATTAACATCTGGATCCAGGTCCACAGTGGTCATCTCCATCTGTTTACAGCTCTGCTTGTTCCCAGCAAGGTGTCACACCTTTCGCTGGAGAGATGTTCACGTTTAACTATGTTAATGGAAGTCTCTGAGCCTGCTTTCTGTAGTCCAGGCTGGTCTTGAACTTGTGTTCCCCCTGCCTCAGCATCCTGAGACTCTGGGGTTACAGGCATACACCCAGCTTTTTAGGCGTGTAGATGATTGGATGCTGCTGGTGGTGTTTGCTGCGCCCCCTCGATGCATGTTCAGTAATACCTGCTCATATCTAACAGTTCTGCTGGTGTGGGTGTGAGAAGGAATGCAACCATTAGCCTGGCTGTTTCTGGGACATCATGTTTTCCATACCCCCACCAGGTAGGAAGGGCCACTAGCCTCACTGCAAAAAACCTGCGCCAGGAGCCAGACAATGCAACCCAGAAATTATTCTTCTGATCTAAGCTAAATTCCTCCAGTTGGCGTTTTCGGTTCACTTTTCCTTTGTTTAGTTCACGATGTTGCCCTTCTAAAAAGTTTTCCTACCTAGCAGCCTGCTGTTTGAATGAATCGTCACGCAGATATTCTAGCCAGGAGAGCGTGGAAAATGTGTATGTCTTTTGAAGCGTATGCATCCCTCTATGCTATATTCTCTCCATTAGGAGAGAATTTTCTCAGGATACAACACTGAGATAAAATAGTGGACAGAATTCTAATTCTAATGTGCGTGTGTGTGTGTATGTGTGTGTGCGCGTGCGTGTGCGTGTGTGTGTGTCCCTTTGGGCAGAAAGACCAAAAGAAATACATAACCTGATAGTTATCTCTGGGCGCCTAGTTTATCGGTTATTTATCCACTGAGCCGTACACCCAGCATAATGAATTTATACCTGTCTATGTTTTCAGATATTTTACTGTAAACAGATATTATCTTTGCACTAAGCAAAAACCAGCATCTTCCAGTAGACAAAAGGAAATTTAAAACCTGTATTGAGATTACTAACATTTACTTGAACTTAACTTTCCCCCTTTCTCGTGTAAACCGTATTAAAATTGGCTGGTGTGAGCAAAACAGGTACGCGGCATGTCTTGAGATAATCCGAAACGACAGCGTTCTTGTCCAGAAGTGTCAGCTTTCCCGCCAGCCCCCCGAGCAGCTATATATTCCATGTGGTATTGGAATTCACCCCTCATGCTTGGAACACTGCACACCTGTCTCACTTCACGCTCCTTGTTTCCCGGAGTAAATCCCATATCCGCAGTGTGAGCGCCAGTGAAATTCATTAGTGGTCCAGATGTATGTCCCCTGTCAGTTGGCCTAGTAACCCTGCTATTTATTGACAGGTTCTCAGGAATCAGATAGCTCACAGTCGGCCAAGAAAGACATGCTGGCTGCCTTGAAATCCAGGCAGGAAGCTCTGGAGGAGACGCTGCGCCAGAGGCTGGAGGAACTGAAGAGATTGTGTCTCCGGGAAGCTGTAAGCAATTAAGTCTGCGTTGTTTGTCATGTCATACATCTTCGGGAGGGACAAAGACAGGGTGGAGACAATTTTCAGGAAAACAAGTGCTCTCCCTCCCCAGTGTTGGGAACACCGGCACCTCCAGTGATATACTTTGTTAGAAGCAAGGTACTGAGGGACACCAGTGTCAGTGAAAACGGTTACCAGCTGAATCTTATGTATGATACACACACATCCTGAGGCTAAATGACAAGTCACTTTAACAGTCCCCAAACCATGCATGGCATACCGCAGTGCACAGGACATGTCCTCACAGGACACTGCCTACCACGGTCTTCCTTCGCGGGAGCTTCTGTCTCCATTTATTGCTGGGATAGTTTTGCTTCTTCAGAGTTTGTCCTTATGAATGTGAGGTAACATCACTGGAGATCAACAAAGGCAAGAGGATGTCACCTGAGATACACAGTAATCACTTTAAACATGGTGATCTACTGTTTCTGTAGCTCTTTCTTTATGAAAATTGATTCTTTCCCTAGTTTGGTGGTGGTGGGGAGGTAGTGGTGGCTTGTTGGTTTTTGGTTTTTTTTTTTTTTTTTTGGTTGTTTTTGTGTTATCGGGGCTTGAATTTATGGCCTCATACATGCTAGGTTAGTGTTCTTCCACTGAGCCGTTGACCTAACATAGTGATTCATTTAACTTTTATGTAAAGCAATGTTGTGTTGGGCTGGGAGATGGTTTAATGGATACAGCACTTGCTTTGCAACTATGAGGACATCAGTTGAATCCCAAAAACCTAGATAAAAGCCTGGCAGAGAAGAACCTGCCTGTAATCTCTGTGGCCGAGAGGGGAGGCAGTTGGCCGAGCATACTCAGTAACGAGCCAAAAAAGAGACCTTGTCTCAAACAAGCTGGAAGAGGAGAGCTGACACCCAAGAGTTGTCTTGTGACCACCACATGTGACCTATGGCAAGTGTACGCACCCCATTCCCCACACCAACTGTCTCCTTCAGCCTTATGTGGGGCAGGTCCCAATTTCAATCAGTTTGTAGAGGCTCCCACAATTCATTTCGACATTCATTGAAATGTCCATTCCTCCCTTCTAATGTTTATTCCATAACTCTTTGTTAGCAGTGCTTGTAGGCTTCATTCTTAGCGTAACACATACGGTCATGCATGTGTGTGTTGTGTGTGCGCGCACACACATGTATGTGTGCCTCACGTGAGCACAGCGTGGGGCTGCTCTCCTGGGAGTGGTTGTGCTCCACAGACCATGACCGAAAGCTCCGTGGGTAAACAGTTCTGAATGGCAAGTCTAAAGAGGGTCCCTAACTAAATCCAGGAGGCGGATTCTCCTCCCCCCCCCCCCCCCCCCCAGATAATAATGCTTTGCAGCAGGAAGAACGAAACAGTGGGCCGGAGAGTGAGATCACATTACATTCCAACTTGGCTTAATTATGTCTGGATTGGTTTAAACCGGAGCTCGCTTGAGGCAGGACCACATTAGCACGGATCCATTGCAAATCAGGAAAGCCGTGGGCCTGGCTGGGGGAATGAGCCATGTGATACTGTGAATATTAGCAACATTTTTACAAAGACTGTGCTTGAAGGAGAGAGGGGGGAAAAAAAAGTCTGGGCTTTGGTGTCTGCCTTTCATAATTTGTAAACCCTTGTATTGTGTTTAATAAAAGACGTCCCTAAAGCAAGCAAGGAATATACATTACAGCATGTAAGGAACATGTCAAGGCAAGACCAGCACGTACAATAAAAGTTGCACAAATGCATCCTAAGGACAACAAAAGCTCCCACTTCCTATAGCTTTGAGAACAGAAAGTGTAACTTAGGTAGCAGTAACCCAAAGCCTTGTGTACGTGTGCCTATTTTCACTCTTGACCCATGTGAGATAAAGGGGCCTCGTGTCCCCCACACACACCCCCACCACCCCACCACGACCACCACCTCTCGGCTTGAAGATCCTCCAGGCTCGGGGAACAGGAAATGCTGTTTGGCCCCTTGGGAAGAGAGCAGCCAGAATGAGGCCGTGTGGGAGCCCCGGGTGTCCTACAGCAAGAGGGCCCACTGCCATGCATTAAATTACTTCCCCACCATGCGGCTCTCGTTACCTATGAAATCAGATTAAATATCTGGAGAATTGAGACCTTGACCTGGGTCCTGCCAAGCAGATGGTGGAAAATCAGTAGCCCCGTTTTAGAAATATAGACTGAAACCGCAAACACTTTAGAGTTACAGCTCCACGGCAACGTTAACAACCTCTCCTTCCTTTTCCTAAGTTTCCGAACAGGAAGACCTGACAGTTTGTTATTTATATATATTAAAACAACAGTCTTAGCAGGTTCTTATTTGTAGAAGGTCTAAGCAGGGAGCAGGTAAGAAGTCACAGAATAAACATATGAATATCTGAGAAACACTTGAACCTTTTAAAATTTTTTTCAAGGCTGAATATTGCAGAAGCAGTCAGTCAAACAGGGGACCATCCTGCTCTGAAATACTAAAATGCCTTCATAAGGAAAGAAGGTGCAAGGAGCCATATTCAGTGCTGTGAACACAGGAGAGGCCCAGGAAGGGGGTGCTTGGGCACACACATACCACATAGACACACGTAGCCGTGTGGTCAGCCTGCCACATCATGAGAAGGGCTTCAGGGCACCTCCTGTGATTTGACTTTTCCTGCTGTGGGCACTCAGGTCAGGACTGGACTGCCGAACACAGATGCTCTCTGTGGATGACGAGTTGCAGAAGGACACTTCTGAGCTCTTCCTCATCACAGCCATGCGCTGTGGCATCCCGTAGCATCCTGTTGACTTAGGGTCAGAGAGGCAGAGCTGGTGCTTGCCCAGATGTGCCTGGTGAACGCACAAAGTGGCATCTCCATCCTCTCCTGGTGCTGGAGAGTGACTTCTCACCTTCCTATCTGGCTTCCACAGTGTGGTTTAGCTGCAGACTTAACCCAATCTGTATGTGACTATATGAGTATACTAATGCTCAGCCTTCTAATTCTGAGTTATTCTTTTTTAAAATATTTCTTATTGTTTATTTACTTTATTTTATGTGCACTGGTGTGAAGGTGTCAGATCCCCTGGAACTGGATCTTCAGACAGTTGCGAGCTGCCATGTGGGTGCCGGGAACTGAACCCGGGTCCTCTGGAAAAGCAGTCAATGCTCTTAACCGCTGAGCCATCTCTCCAGCCCCCTGAGTTATTCTTCAAGCAGCCTATGCTTGCCCAGGGTTACTGTTGAATCTGTCACCTACTCACTATCATTGTGCCCACAACAGTTAGAGTTTCAGAATTTCTTTGATGTGTGTGTGTATATATATATATATATATATATATATATATATATATATATACACATACGTATAAATCATCTGTTCATGCTTAGTTTTTACTAAGACTCTCACACAAAAGTTAGAGGTTTTGTTTTGTTTTGCTTGAGACAAGGTCTTGCTTTGTAGCTAAGACTGGCCTTGAACTCGTAGTCCTGCTGAGTATTGGGGGACACAGGTTTGCAACATCACACCTGGACAGGTCACTGTCTTTAAGTTCAGCCTGTTGCTGTATATGGGGCCAGTGTCAAACGGTGGTCAGCATATTCAGTCTTGATAATGTAGTTTCCTGGCGTACACCAAACAGTACTTTCCATAAGAAAACTCATTTGGGGAGAGAGAAAAACAAAAAAACAAATAGAACAACAATGAAAGAAAACCTTATATACAAAGCACAAGTGTTGATTGCTGCTTACCGGCTGTGTGGCCGTTGTCACATGTGGTAGGTTCGTGGGAGACCCTCACTAGATCAGCAAATGAATGAAAATGGACTTCTATAAAGTCCAAGTGAAGTTTATTTTTGGGGGGAAGGGGAGCCCAAAGCATATCTGTTCTGTAGAAAGAGAAGTGTCATTTCCCCTCATTTGCTCATTCATTTTTTGTAGAGGTTAAATTTCGTAACGTGAACGCTTCCTCCTGCCCCTCCCCAGCACTGGGGGTTGAACTCAGGGCTTCAGGCGTATTGGACAAAGTCGCTTCCACTGAACTATGTCTGCAAATCCTTTTTAGTGGGGCTGTTTTGTTTTGGAGGGGTTTCATGAGTTGGCCAGCTTGGTCTTGAGTTTGTCATTCTCCTGCCTCAGACTCCTGAGTAGCTGCTTGCAGATCTCTACTGCCAGGTCCAGCTACATCATGAACTCTTATTTAGGCTTAGTGCCTAATGCTAAGGGGCCTTACCTACGCATCAAATTGGTGATGGATGTGTGTCCTAGCCAAGCTCTCTGAATGTTCTTCTACACACGCAGGAGCTCACAGGCAAACTGCCTGTCGAATATCCCCTGGATCCAGGAGAGGAACCACCTATTGTTCGGAGAAGAATTGGAACAGCCTTCAAGCTAGACGAACAGAAAATTCTGCCTAAAGGAGAGGTAGGTTCCTCTGGCATTGCGGAGTTTCCCATCACCCCTTTTGTGTTACCCTCATTCACCCCAGTTGCTGCAGCTACTAGGTTCTGTGTAATCTCTTCATTGTTTCCAAATACCTGTGTTTTCCCTTTCATCCTTTCTTGGGTGAACTTGCTAGTTGCTATATGGCTTCTCTTTATAAGATGACTCTGATTGCCTTAGTGTTTCCCAGTGGATCTCTGTTGACGTTGTTTATCTAATACTGAAGATCAGGTGCAAGTGGTCAGTTAAGATTGGGGAGAATATTTCAGTAACACATAAATAGACCTGTCTTTGTAGTGACCTTTGTTTCGCTTGGTCTTGCCTGATGCCTGACCTGTGGAAGAAAACACGGAAGAAGCGAATCTCCAGGCACAGTTCTCATTGTCTGGGGAAAGACAAAAGGGTCTGCCCTCCATCTTAAGTCACATGGCTGCTAAAATCACTGCCTAGACACTGCATCCTACGCTTGTTCTGCCAGGGCTTGTCATCTGTAACTGGAAAAGCCATATTTCAACATGATTTTTATTGTCGTTGGGTGGTACACTGGTGAGGGCTGGGACTAGAGAATTCAGATTTGGGGGTAATCAAAGCTCAGCTGGGTGTGGTGGCTCACGTCTTTAATCCCAGCACTCGGGAGGCAAAGGCAGGTGGATCTTTGTGACTCCCCTGGCAAGCCTGGTCTAGAGAGAGTTCCAGGATGGTCAGAACTACACAGTAAGACACTGTCTTGAAAAAAATAAATAAATAAACACACAAAGTATCCGGCCCTTGTTGAAGAGAAACAAAAAGCCAGGTTTACATTCAGGTCTCGGGTCTTCCCAGATTTCTTCCAACTAGAGTTACTGATTAATGAGCTAGCGAAGGGAAGACTCAAGACAGCTTCAGGGCTCAAAGCCTGGCTAGCACATTAGCTACGTTTCTTGTTGCTGGAATAAAATGGCCTGACAAAAGCAGAGGAAAGCAGGGAGGGAGGGAGGGAGGGAGGGAGGGGGGGAGGGAGGGAGGGAGGGAGGCTTACTTTGGCTCACAGTTGAGGATACAGTCATGGCTGGGAAGGCTTGGGCAGAGTGTGAGGCTGCAGGTCACACAGTTTGGAAGGAGATAGCAGTGAGCACTGGTGCTCTGCTCACTTCCTCCGTCTTATGGAATGGTGTCACCTACATTGAGGGAGCTTCTTCCCACTCCAGTTAACTTAGTCTAGGAAATCACTCATAGACATTCGACAACTAAAGTAGCCGCCATGAATGGAAAGAAAAATAAAGTACTTTTAGTTTTTTGAGGAACTTGGAAAAAGACATACTCCTAAAATCAGGTCAGCGTGCAGGTGGAGGGCCTGCTGGGCACACCGGAGTGGTTCATACAAAGTGACACCTAGTCAGGCCGCTTCCTCTTCCCTACGTTCAAGTTCCTGGTGCCGATGTCTCTGGGTTATCACTCGGATTAAATGGGCTAGAAGAACATTTCTCTGGATACTTAACACATGCCTGATGCCCAGCGAACAGCTGCTGCAAAGAGAGATGAGATGCCGAAGAGGGGAGTGACTTAGAACACCATGTGGTCGGACGTCTCCCAAAGCTGGATCGTCATCTCAGCTTGAGCTTTCAAAAAAAGCACCCCATGTTTGACGAGTGTCCTTCCACGCCTGAATTTCCCATTGCTGTGTTGTAGTGTTTTCCACTTTTCAAGAAAGCTGGCTCCAGGGCTCTGAGAACTCCTTGCTGGCCCTTGTGCATCTTTCTGAAATTCTGCAGAGGAAGCAGGCAGAGTTCTGCAGAGCTTCCTCGCGACGGGAAGGGACTCGCTCTCGCTCTGCGCTGCCACAGCTTTTCTGCATCCCCTTGGCTCTCCTTGCCCTATGACCCCTTCCTCAGACAAGGCTTTCAGTCCTGTCCTTGACTCAGTTGGAATCTCAAGACTTGTTCTGCCTGCAAATCTCAGGGTCAGTGTCTTGGACCAGAGCTATCATAACCGCCCAGAAACAGCTGCTTCAGGGAGCCCAATTCATTGGCTGGGTTTTGTCCCTGTCCCAAGGCTCTGGGCAGGAGTCCATGTTGATATCCTGCTTCCTCTGAGAGAACAAGTGTGTCCAGCACTGGAAGGAGTTTATTGTCTAAGTGGTTCCATTCAGCCTTTACTTTTCCTTCCCATTACTTGTTCCTGCCTCTTCTAGACTTGAAGTGCTCAAAAGTCATTGAAATCAGGCAAAGAGTATTTTCCTTAGTAGACCCTTCCCACACACCCAGCCTGGTCGGTTGTGCTCAGAGGCACATTGTTGGGCCACCATCATAGAAGACGTAGGGTCCAGGAAACATGGCAGACTCCTCTCCCTTAGTTTGGTCAGTCCCTGCCAAACTTCAGTGTAACCCCAAATCGCCCAGGACAAGACATGTGCTCTTCAGTGGTCATGTGTGGTCCCGGGAAAAGAGAAGCCACTGCGTGCTCATCACAGGTTTGTGCAGTATGGCTTTTTTGGAGCCCATATCTCCTAGGAGTTTCTAGAACACACCCCGGCTGCTAGTGCCCTTGTACCCACCGGATACTCCAAACTCCAGAGTAACTATTGCCTATTGCGGCTTAGAGCTAGCTTTGATGAAACCGTTCCACTAGTCAGTCAATTTACTTCCTCGTTACCATGACAAAATGTCTGACAGAGGCAACATAAAAGAGGAAGAAGGTTCTATTCTGGCTCGTGCTTTCAAGGACTAGCCTTTCAGCGTGAAGGAGAGCCTGGAGGCTGGAGCCCGTGGTGTGAGCCTTGCTATATCTTCACATTGGACAGGAAAAACCGGGTCTTTGAGCAGGAGGCGGAGTTATCAGCCCCAACCTCTCCTGGCCTGCCACATTCCCAGCTCTCTACCTCTTCCAGCTGGAACTCGCTGACTAAAGGCTACCAAACTTTCTAGAGCAGTGCCAACAGCTGGTAGCCAAGCTCAAGGGAGAGTTTACGTGCACAGCCCCAAAACCAGGGAAGAGAAGAAATAGAGAACTGAACTGTGTGGTACTTAAGGGGCTTCTGCATCCACCCACAGATGCTAACAACAGGCAGAGTCTGCCTTCATCTCTAGCATCGCCTGGTGTGTATCCATCTGCAGAGGAGATACCCGAACAGTAGGCCAGCCACACATGCTCCCTATGGGGTACCATCTTCTGGGTCTCCCAGCCATATCTGGCATCCATAGCCTCGTTTCTCCTAGGCCCAGAAACAAGGGAGACTCGTCTTGATAAAAGGGCCAGCGGGGGGGGCGGGGGGGGAGGAGATGCACAAGAAGGCAGGAAGGGAGAGAGTCCAAAACCTACCCAAGGAGCAGGGGGAAAACTGGTTCCACTACCCACCCCCACATCACTTAGCCTCCTAGAGGGCCCGGAAGAGCTTTTATGAACACCCAAGTGTGAAAAGAAGGGTTAGGGCTTGCAGAGGAGCATCCAGAAGTCACCCAGGTGAGTGGGGATACGTCCTAACGTGAGACACACAAAGATGCATGACAGGGCATACGTGGGAGATGCCTATGTGGGAGATGTCCACGCATGAACAAACCCCAGAGGACAGTAGCAGAAGGCTGTTCCAGAAGTCATGCTGCATCTTATGCTCCAAGGAGAAAGAAAATGATAGCAATGGATTCTGAATTTTCTCTAAGGCTGGGTCTTCAGCAGTCACTGGTAGAGGTGGGAGAAAGGAAGATCAGAAAAACTGGGGCAGAGGTCTGGCCTAGAGGTGAGCAAGGCAGGGTCTCCTTGGGCAGCAGGATCTTTGGAAGCTGTAAGCATTGGTTTTCCCTCCCACAGGAAGCTGAGCTGGAACGCCTGGAACGAGAGTTTGCAATTCAGTCCCAGATCACGGAGGCTGCCCGCCGCCTCGCCAGTGACCCCAATGTCAGCAAAAAACTGAAGAAGCAAAGGAAAACCTCTTATCTGAATGCACTGAAGAAGCTGCAGGAGATTGAGAATGCAGTCAACGAGAACCGTATCAAGTCAGGGAAGAAACCCACCCAGAGGGCATCACTGGTCATAGACGGTCAGTGCCACCCACAAGCTCCTGCCCTGCTCCCCGACAACCAGGTCCTGTTAGGATTTAAACAGTCTCTTCCCCGAGTACCTTATCGTCCATCCATAAAAGGGAATGGGTAATCCTGACGCTCCATCCTAATAATCAATTGCATGTGGAGGCACAGATGAAAGAGACCATACATAGAACCTCAGTATCACTTGTGACACTTGCCCAGGCCCTGAAGGGATGGGCCATTTGCTCTAGGAACTAAGAAGTGCCCATCTTTTATATCTTATTCTGTCGTCCTTTGCCATGAAAATGGAACTTTCCACCACTTTCTAACAGGACCACAGTGAGTCAGCTCTTCTTTGTCATTGCCTCCTTTGGGGCCTCCTCAAAGGCATTTGAACTTCCCTGCTCTGTAGAAACATCTAGAAGACCCATCGGAGCTATGTCTGGGAAGAGCAGCCTGTGGGAGCCTGTCTTACCAGGTGACCTCAGGAGCCCATTCAGAGGTCGGCTGAGTGAAGGCTATTCTCTTAGGTCTGCGGCAGCACTGGCTCCTAAATCATTACTCATGCCAGCTCCTGATTCCTTCCATGTGAGCCTCCATCCATTTTTTTGTTAAGCTCAAGAATCTGCCTTCCCTGCATTGCTGCCACCATGGAGTAATGTTTTCATCACAGAGGCAGGCCCATCTGTGTTGGGAATGTGCAATCTCCTTAGATTCCTGGCAAACGTTTTATCTTAAGAGCAGAACGCTAAGCCCAGAATCCAAAGACTTTGGATGGACCTTTGCTGACATTTCCCAGGGAGTAGAGTCACTGCAGACAAACCTGCTTTCCTGAAGGTACCTCAGTTTCCCCAGTGGGAGGGAGATCATTTTACTGTTTCCCACTCAGGCGCGTTCCTCATTGAATGGTGACTGTGAAGATAATCGAGAGAGATGGAGTCTGTATTTAGCAAGCTTGTTTTCTCTGCTAATGACTTAAGTTCATTGAGAAACCATTTATTGCCATGTGAGCAAAACTAAGTGCCCTCCCCTAGTTTCAGATCTCTTGAATAACAGCTGCTGGTTTCTTTGGTTCAGCTGGTACTTGCCCCGAGTTTGCTCTAGGACAATGATGTGGCTTCACCAGGCCCCACCACCTATGACATGCTGAGCCACAGTATCTGGTGAACAAGGGCATAAGTACACAAAGACTAGGGCCCATTGCGTAGCTGGGTGGGAAGGGTGTGCTCATAACCCATAACCCACCACAGGGACTGTCAAGGGAAACACCCAATAGCATCTTTGTTTCTTGGCTTCTTTCCTTGCTGATGCAAAAAAAAAAAAAAAAAAAAAATGGGTGAGTGTTGCCAGGGCGGGGCGGGGGAGGAGGGCAGGCTGCTCTTTCCTACACACTGGCTTGGTTTCCAGAGTGTATTAACAATCCTGTGGACTTCCATTTTTTGTCTTCTAGATGGAAATATCGCCAGTGAAGACAGCTCCCTCTCCGATGCCCTTGTTCTTGAAGATGGTAGGTTTGTCCGTTCCCTGCTCTTAAAAGTGGAATCCAGGTTAAACCCAGATTTTTCTGTATGCAGCCTGGGAATGGCCTGATAGACAAGAAGAGGCAGGCAGAGACAGTGACTAAACTCTTTACAGGCTCTTCCCTTCCCCAGGAGTCACTGCTGGGCTCAGAGTGACAGCTACCTTGACACTTGTCATCCAGGTTTATCCAATCTGCAGTCTGTGGGCCACATGCAGCCCCTGTGTTCCAATAGCATAGAAAATACACATATGTGTGCTCTGATAACCAGTGGGCCATGGGTTGGACACTTCTGCAATGTATGGCCTAAGAGAATTTACTCTTGGTCCAATATGGCCCAGATAAGCCAGAAAGTTGGACACCCCGAGTGATATTCATGAAATGGTATTTTGTTTTTGTAATAACCAAAGAATTTTTTTTTTGACTGGCATGGTACCTTTAATCCTGTAACCCCGGCATGTGAGGGGTGGAAACAGAGGCAGGAGGATCAAAAGTTCAAGGCCAACCTGAGCAATATAGCAAGTTGACCTTGAGTCAAAAACAAACAAAGGTTTGGGAGTATAGTTCACTGTTAGAGTACTTACCTATATGCAAGGACCTGAGTTCTATCCTCAGGACTAAAAAAAAAAAAAAATGCACAAGAGTCTTCATCATGTGTATCTTCGTTTTGGCAGTGCTGACATACAAGGAAAGAGATAGACATTGATTTGTGCTACATAACAAAGATTGGGACCCACTGGGAGTCTGAGCTCCAGGAAGGAGTTGGCCTATCTGCTGTCTTCTCTGAGACAGAAATGGGAATGTCCCTTTTGTGACATGGGCAACCTTGGAAACTGTTGTTTTATATCCTGCTGGATTCTTAAATATGGCAACTACCAGGATATTTTCTTGGTCAGGTCTTAGGAAATCAGAGTTAAAAACCCCTCCTGCCCCCACAGCAGAAACAAGCATTCCAGACTTAGAACCATTTCCAAGCTATTCCTGCGGTTGTTAAACCAAAACATTGGGCAGTGAGGGCACTAATTATATGGAAATCTATTAACTGGTAGTTCATTTTTTTGCCCTCTAGGAAAACCTCAGGCAGCCAGTGGCAAGTGGCTATTGAGACAAAAAAACATAAAAGACCTACCCAAGTCACAGTAACAATAATTGCCACAGTAATAACCATCGGTCTGGATGTGGGGAAAGCCAGGGGAGCTACTTGCCCAGTTGTCTTGGCTTTGCTGTTAGAAACTGATGGTCAAATTTTACTGCTGCATTAGTGGATGGGGAAGACATGGTTTCCATGAGAACACAGAAGCCTGTTTGGAACATGAGACCCCTGGTCCTACCTCTGATCCCTAACACCCTAGTCTGCTGAGGAAGAAGCGAGCTGATGAAGTTCCATTGTGTTAGTAGTTTCCAGGCCTGTACTTAGTCATTAGCTGAGACATCATGATTACAGCTTTGCCCCCATGTCCTAGGCCCCTGACCTCCTGAGAACTGTAATTGCCTCCTCTTGTGTCCTGTGTTCCCAGTTCAGGCTCTGGCTCACTAGGGATTCCTCCTGTCTGACTTGAGGGGCAACGCCAGAGCCTTTGAATTATGGGGACTGAGGATTAGGCCATGAAAGAATCAAGAGTTGCAAATGGATATAGGCTCCTACGAATGATTGGTTGATTTCCCCTACCCCCCCACCCCCCACCCCCACCCCCGTGAGCATTCCCTTCTACTCCTGAAGCCACTGCACCTTGGGTTCCCATCATTGTCTCTTCATAAACCCTCCCTTGTCTCTCCTGTTGCTTTTCCCAGGGTAAAAATTGCCAGAACGATGGTTCTTAAACAGCATTTCCACCCTGACACATCTGTGTTTGAAGTTATCAAAGTTGTCTTGTAGCTTTTAGGCCAAATCTCAACTCCTTGTCTGGAATTCAAGGTCTCTCTCTATCTGGGCTCACTCAGAATTCCTCCCTCCTGGGCTCTGCCCTCTCCCCCAGCTGAGTGGCTCCTCCTGCTTATATCCCCTCCCCTCCCCTCCTTTCCCCGCCCCTCCCCTCCCCTCCACATTTCTACCCAGTTTCCTTCCTTCTCTGCCTGCCCAGAGCTCATTTCCTTCCAGGCACCTTTTGGTTGGGGATTGTTGTTTCTAATGGGACCAGGTCCTAGATAGCTCCGAATGACATTGAACTACTCACTGTGTAACTGAAGCTGGCCTTGAACTTCTGATTTGCCTACCTCTATCTACCAAGTGCTGGAATTACAGGCCAGAGTCACCATGCCTGGTGAGACGCCTCTTTCTTTGACTAAATGGCTTTGCTTCCTTTGGAAGTCATCCAGCATACAGATGTGCTGGGTTGCACCCCAGAGATGGCAGGGCTAGGGTGCTGTTGGGACTGAGAACTTTTCTCCCCAAACACCTTGATCAGCGCTGAGCTCAGTGGAGAGCACTTGCCTAGCACGGACAAGGCCCTGGGCTCCCTCCCGACATCACAGGACTAAATATGCCAGAAAAGATTGTAAAGAATTTAAGTAGCTTGTGGGGGGACCATGGCTGGGAGAGAACCAGTTTTGCCCACACTAAATTACACTTGACAGATACACTAAAAGTGATACTTACTGCCCTGTATTGACCAGTAGTTGAGGCAGGGTCAGCAGGGTCCTTGGGCATATTTTCATGTGTAGCTCCCAAGGCACAGATGTGGTGGGTTGGATTTGTGGGACCGGTGACACTGATCCTTCCCTCCTCTTCCTGTCTTGACAGAAGACTCTCAGGTTACCAGCACACTGTCCCCCCTACAGTCTCCGCACAAGGGACTTCCTCCTCGGCCACCATCATCGCACAACAGGCCCCCTCCCCCGCAGTCCCTGGAAGGGCTCAGGCAGATGCACTATCACCGCACTGACTACGACAAGTCACCCTTAAAGCCCAAAATGTGGAGCGAGTCCTCCTTAGATGAGCCTTATGAGAAGGTGAAGAAACGCTCCTCCCATGGTCATTCCAGGTGAGCTGGGTCGCAGCACCCAAGTGGGGTGTCTGGCAGAGTCCGAGGGTGGCCCTACACAATACCCACAGCGTCTATTCCCTTCCTTTGCTCACAAAGCCCTCTGCTGTCGGCCTCAGAGAAGTACAGATTTCTCATCCAAAGGGGAAAACCCAAAGGTTTGGCTCACAATCAACCTGTTGGCAGATGGCTTTAATGCCGTTAAATTCCACAGGAATTAATTAGGAAATTGTAGCCAGCAGTATTCCAGAATGGCAAAGGAGAGTCCCCTTTGCCAAAATCAGAGGATCCCCAAGGTGGTGCAGAACCTAAACCATCTACCAGCCGGTGGCTGGAGCCAAGCTGCAGTAATGAAAGGCCCACATTAGCAGCTCATTGCTAGGTTAATACCAGCACCGTAGAGATGACTACTTGGAAGCTGTTTTAGGTCTGCTTCTGCTGTCCTCATTTTCCTTAATTACACAGCCCCAAGAGGGTGCCCGAAAAGGAACAATGCCCTGGGCTGATTGCAGGGGTGGAGGGGACAAAGCCCCCTCCAGTGGGACAGTGAGAGCTGGCGTCCTGGGCAAGCCCTCCCTCCAGCTAGACCCATTGTCCCACGCTGGTTAGCCCCTGCCACTGGGGACAGTGCCACATTATATCAGCGTGACCAGCTTGGCTTTTCTCTGCTTACAGCAACCACAAGCGCTTCCCCAGCACAGGAAGCTGTACTGAGGCAGGAGTAAGCAGCTCCTTGCAAAACAGCCCCATCCGAGGCCTCCCGCACTGGAATTCCCAGTCTAGCATGCCGTCTACTCCAGACCTGCGCGTCCGGAGTCCCCACTACGTCCATTCCACAAGGTGAGTCTGCAGGGCCTTCAGACTACCCGCCTTTCTGGTCCAGACCTTTCAGCCCCAATAACAGGTAAGCTATTACAGACTGGATTCTGCCCGCTTTACCCTCGACACTCAATACAGATGCTGTTCCTATCTGGGGACTCGTGAAACCAGAGAATCCCAGTATCCTGGAGAGAACCAAACAAGGATCCTAGTAGGAGTGGAAGCAGAAAAACTAGTCCAGTTAATGTGGGAAGTGCAGCGGCCTTATACACCCCTGGCTAATCTTTGCTCCCCAGTCCTTATAGACCGTTCTCACAAGGCCTACGGTCTATTCTGGACTCTACATTTATAACGCTGAAAAGAATGAACAGAAAATGGGCTTCACTGAATCACATTCCTTTTCTAAGTAGTTGTAAAGCCAGATCATGGACGGCCACTGGTTAGGGCTGTGTACTTTTGCGTGTGGAGCCTAGAGTCCCTGTGAATTTGCATATGTAGTTCTAGCATTCAGTACCATTATTTATCTCATATTACTATTGGTGGCTAAGCAGAGCGGATCAGAGGCAAGGTCTTGGTACTACCAGTAGGCATTTGTATCCTTCCTGTTTAGGGTTCCATGTTCCACCAACCCTCAATCTTAGGATCCTTTTAGGGAACAGCCATTGGCATTCATTCCAGAGCAGTATTGGGTTCAGAGAGTGCCTGTTAGAGGTTTTATTGTTACTGATTTGGGTTTTTTGGGGGGGATGATGGGGGGGGGCTTGTTTGCTTTACCTACAATCAGCATTTTAAATGAGTTAACATACTACTTAGAACGTAGTAATTCTTAGGTTCCCTAAAAAGCAAAAGCCCTATTTTAGATTTTGGTCAACACCTTTTAGCAGAAACCCTGTGTAAATCCTAGATGTAAATCTACTTCCCTGGCTCTGGCCTCCAGGGACTCTTAGCTCCCTTTCTCACCTGGGACCTAAGGAAGTACCTGACTTTCCAGGATAACCATTGGCTAGAAGTCCCCCTAGGCTTTTACACTGCAGCCCTGTGGCTTTCACGGGACCTTTTGATCCAGAACCCCAAGACCAACCCTGAGGTCTCCCCACAGGTCGGTAGACATCAGTCCCACGAGACTGCACAGCCTGGCACTGCACTTTAGGCATCGGAGCTCCAGCTTGGAGTCCCAGGGCAAGCTCCTGGGCTCAGAGAATGACACCGGGAGCCCCGACTTCTACACTCCGAGGACTCGTAGCAGCAATGGCTCGGACCCCATGGATGACTGCTCGTCGTGCACCAGTCACTCGAGCTCAGAGCACTACTACCCGGCGCAGATGAACGCCAACTACTCAACGCTGGCTGAGGACTCGCCATCCAAGGCGCGCCAGCGCCAGCGGCAGAGGCAGCGGGCAGCAGGCTCCCTGGGCTCAGCGAGCTCCGGCAGCATGCCCAACCTGGCAGCACGCACCGGGGCTGCAGGCGCGGGTGGCGGCGTGTACCTGCACAGCCAGAGCCAGCCAAGCTCGCAGTATCGCATCAAGGAGTACCCGTTGTATATTGAGGGCAGTGCTACACCCGTGGTAGTACGCAGCCTGGAGAGTGACCAGGAGGGCCACTACAGTGTCAAGGCACAGTTCAAGACCTCTAATTCCTACACGGCTGGCGGCCTGTTCAAAGAGAGCTGGCGTGGGGGTGGCGATGAGGGTGATGCAGGCCGCCTTACACCATCGCGCTCCCAGATCCTGCGGACTCCTTCGTTGGGGAGGGAGGGCGCCCATGACAAAGGCTCTGGCCGTGCTGCAGTATCAGACGAGCTGCGCCAGTGGTACCAGCGTTCCACAGCCTCGCACAAGGAGCACAGCCGCTTGTCGCATACCAGCTCCACCTCCTCAGACAGCGGCTCTCAGTACAGCACCTCTTCCCAGAGCACCTTCGTGGCGCACAGCAGGGTCACCAGGATGCCCCAGATGTGCAAGGCCACATCAGGTGAGCAGAGTGGAGGGACTGCGATGACCTGGGTAGCCATCGCAGCCAAGAAAGGGAGTCATTTATTACGGAGGCCTTGCTGAGGAATGTGGGAAGCCTGTGGCTCGTACCCCAACACTAGTGTTTCCTCCTTCTTTATCTGGAGCACAAAAGGAGCTTTCCATTAGCCCTTCTAGTTAAGGACAGAAAGCCATGTGATGTCAGGTCTCAGGGTTTATCCTGCTAAAGGTGCACCTTTTTCCTGGTGAAGAAAAATTCTAGTAGGTTAGAGACCCAAGTTATAATCTTGCCAAGAACGGTTGGGATCTTGAAGCCCTGGGGAAAGAAGTGATGACTCTCTGAGCCTCACAGCTGCCCTGCATAAGTAGCCTGGCTGCTCCTGGCTTTGCTATTCCAGTGAGGTTATGATAGAATCACAAAGTAACTTCTTTTTCACAGAAAAATCACAACAGTGCTTTCAGTATCTTTGACACTTTCAGTATCCTTGATACTGTGTCACCGAGGTTTGAACCCACTGTGCAGTACCAAGTCCAGTAAAAGATGGGAGGACTGTCCTTTCTGTTAAGAAGTTTTTCTGTGAAATAACAATCTAATAACCCGCCTTAGCTGAGCACTTGTCTTTGCTACACTGGTGATGCTCATCTGTATACTCTTACCACTCAGACGGTGGTTAAAAAAAAAATACTCCAACCCTTGACTCTAGTAGGCAGGAAACGAGGGAGGACTTCCAGACAAAAATAGTAAGCAGTACAAGAATAAAACCAAGGATTGGGGACGAGTGTCACCTGGAAAGAAGAGGTACATTCTGTCTCCATATCCCCACCGTCTTTTGCCTTAGGGCACACACCACACAAACTCCAGAGACTAGGCTACAGATGAGCTAGCGGTCCTGGGACACCATGGACAACACCGAAACCTTCTTCCTCCTCTGCTTACTTACCTTCCCAGAAAGATTCTGGGAATGGATACACTCTGTGTGCCACCTGAAGGTCATGATCACGTCTGGTCCTCTTAGATCCCACGGTTAAGTACCAATGGCCAAAGGATATGAGGGTTTCATTCTCTCAAAACTGCTGTGCTTGTGTGGCTATGCTCTACTAAATGATAGCGGGCAGATATTATTACTAAGATTTTAGTAAGTTGTATCTGAGGTTGACAGACAGAAGAAAAGGATTCTAACTCCCTACCCCAACCAATGCAAACGATGCATTTAAGTAGGATTTACTTTGTGCTGAATTCTCCTAGCGAGATTTCTCTGTGTTCCTCCATCAGTAAACTCCTATGTTTAAGTGAGCTGTTAAAAGCTCTGTTCATTTGAAGGGTTACTGAAGGAGCGGCTGGTAAGTCTGAGACAGCAGAGGACTTTCCAGAGGCCCTTCCTACAGTAAAGCATGACCTCGCATAGGGACCACATCTAAAATGCCACGAGGCAGCCCTCCAAGCTCAGGTCTCCACCACAGAAATACAGGGGCTTCCCATTCTGTGCAGTTTAAGAAGCCATCCTGTGGCCTCAGTCAGAATGGAGAAACGTAGTTAGGAGAAAATGCAATTGGGGATACAAAGGTATTTCCCCACTGTGACTATGGCATGAGGTCACTGAGACCCTGCCTACAAGGTCATGTCTGGCAATGGTTGAAGGTCTGCCATTGTGTTATAAGCTCTTTTGTCTTACCTGTCTCTCCCTGCCTTTCCCTCACCAACTACATATAGCTGCCTTACCTCAAAGCCAGAGAAGCTCAACGCCATCAAGTGAAATTGGAGCCACCCCACCAAGTAGTCCCCACCACATCCTGACCTGGCAGACTGGGTGAGTTGTCCCTTGAAGCTGCTGACTTAGTTCTTCTGGGCTCTGAATTGTGTTAGCTAGGAAGAACACTGTCAGCATTGAGCTTGTAGTGCCGGAAGGCTGCACCGGTGACTACCATGGCGGCTCACACGTCCTTCTAAAAGAATCTCCTTGTGTGGCTGTCACCTTCTCTCCAGCTGGTCTACTGTCTTTGATGGGGATGAATTCTATGTGGTTCTATTTAAAATTCTATGTGGTTTTCTACTTAAAAGTAGGTTGTGATTCCTGGGATGTAGGAAGGCAAACAAAGAAGTGGATCCAATTCCAGAAAGCATTTGATTTGACTTGAAATGCCAAGCAAAACTGTCAGGGGTGGAGAGAGCACCCTGAGCTAGATATTCTACTTACTTCTCAGTGCGGTCACTGTCTTACTACTGGGATGCACCCCAAGAAAAGGCTTCTGCCTAGGTTAAGCAGTGTTCTTCATCAGCAAAGGGGATACCGTACCTTGAGACCTCTCAGTAGAGGCTGCGCACAGGGACTGAAGATTCAGCCCATGACCCTGTCATTTGTAGCTTTAAGTGTGGACTTAGGGCCAAAGCAGCTGACCAGTGAGGATGCCCTGCTCTGTCAGAAGCTCAAGCAGACACGAGTATCCTGCCTTGTTCTTATCACACGCTGTCACTTTCTACCCCACTCCTCTCTTCTGTTGCGGCCTCTTAGAAGTTAGTCTGTCAACACCTGTTGGTTACCGGAAATGGGCCCCTCCTCCAGCCCAATCCACAGCTTTTGTTTTGTTGGGCACTTGTCTGGGAAAATCTGACCGCCATAAACTGAATTAGAAGAAAGCCACAGCCCTGCAGTTGGTTCTACTGAGCGCCCAGGCTTCCCATGCTGGGCACCTTTACTCCCCACATTTATCTGCAGTGAGCTGACACCAGGCCTCTTCTGCAGCCTTCACTGTTGGTGAGGCCAGGACAGCTAACACTGAGTACTTACATGAACAGAGAGGCTACAGCTTTTTCAAACATAGATGAGTTTCATGGAATCCTTCTGCTCCCCTGGCAAGGGGAAGTATCTAGATCTTTTGGGTTCATCAGTGAGACAGAGAAAAATGTCAGACACCTTATGTTTTTCTGGTAGGTCCTCAAATGTGGACTGTAGACCAGCAGTTTGGGCTTCACCTGGGATCTTCTTGGGTCGACCCAAAACTGAATCAGAAGCTCTAGGGTGGGCCCACTGGGTGTACTTAAATAAGCCCTCAGGTCATTTGGGGTTCAATGATTGGACACCTACTGACCCATTTCATGTGGCCTCTTTTCAAATTAAGAAAACATATAGTCTACAACTATCCACTGTGTTTCTCATGTCCACTCCTCTGTTTTTATTACAAATCACTGAGACACTTGTTCATACCGTCCTCTACAACCGTAGCCTCTAAATCCAGACAGCTTCTTGGCTCAGGGTCGAAGAGTCCCCCAGGACTAACTCCCGTAGCCTCTAAATCCAGACAGCTTCTTGGCTCAGGGTCGAAGAGTCCCCCAGGACTAACTCATACAAGAGTGACGCCTCTGTGTGCCTTTAGTGGTTAAACCACACCATCCAAATAGGAACCTTGGAATCCTCTGGGGACCCTCTCCAGTTCCTGGGTCATGCCCAGTTTTATCTGATTCAGCTATATGACTGCATCACCTGACTAATAATAGGCTCTGAGTTACAAGCATCCGTCCCACGCCCACTCACTCAAGTGAGCCCTTGGACTTGCCTTCTTTGTCACATGTAGCCAGTAAGGGCACAAGACAAACTGGAAACACAAAGATACTGTTCTTGAAGTCCGGTGTTTTGCCAGATTGTGAATTATTCACGAATAATGTGATAAGAAAACGAGATGATGGGTAAAAATTGCCACCGCTTGCCTTCCTAACATGCCTAATGAGGTCTTGTCGCTCAGCGATGGAGACTCAAGGTTGTGTGACTCTTCCAGTGCCGGACTCATGGGCATATGGTCATTGGGTCTCTCCAGTGTGTTAATAAGCTACTAATCATGTGTACCAGTTCTTCTATGTAACATCAACTCTCTTCTCTTCCTCCTTCCGCTTTCCTTTGTTCAGAGAAGCAACAGAAAACTCTCCCATCATGGATGGGTCTGAGTCTCCAACTCACCAAAGTACTGATGAATAGAGGTATTGTAAGGGAACGTTTTGTTCTTACTGCCCACGAGTGTATGATCCAGATGTCCTGCATATGTGCGGCTTCTGCCCATGTCAGAGTTTCCAGTAGGAAATGTCTGGATGGTGTGGAAGCTATTATTTTTATGTTTTATTTCTAGATACATGTGGAGCTATATGTTTGGATGTGTGTTTTTACATCAGATGTAGGATGGTCCCCATTCTTCCCACAAGTACTCCCCCCATAGTATATTTAGACTTTCTAGGCTTTAAATACAAAAAAAGTAGAGGTTTGTTGTTTACCAGGTTTGTAAGTCGTAGCCATAAAAACAGCACCACTACTGTTTAAAATACCCAAACTAGGGGGCTGGAGAGATGGCTCAGTGGTTAAAAGCAGTGTCTGCTCTTCCAGAGGTCCTGAGTTCAATTCCCGGCAACCACATGGTGGCTCACAACCATCTGTAATGAGGTCTGGTGCCCTCTTCTGGCCTGCAGACGTACACACAGACAGAATATTGTATGCATAATAAATAAATAAATATTAAAAAAAATACCCAAACTACTGTAACTGCATCCTACCACTTTTCAGTGACTGTTGTATGTTGCAACAAATATCTTAGAGTCCTGTTTTTCAAAATGTGGTTTGTAAGTCACCACTACCAGCTGGGAGCTCTGAAGGACTCCCAGACACCACCACGGCTGCTGTACCGCTGAAATCCGTAAGGCTCTATTATCACAAGCACAAGGCAGTGGGTCCTGAAAGTCTAAGTAACTAACCCTGCAGCACTGAAACTAAAAAGCACACCGGGAACACCACAATGATAAGGGTGCATGCAGAAGTAGGGGAAAGTCCCAGCAAAACAAAACAGAGACAAAACTGAGCCCTGAGGAAGAAATGCCACATGAAAGTACTGAGTGCTCTACAAATTAAAATGCTGAAAAGATTCAGACAAGAGATGCCTTTTCGTTCTCACACTCGCTTCGTGAGCCTGGCTTTAAAGAACTGCAGCGGAGTGGGGAGGTAGAGAGAAGCCAAGATAAAAAGCCACGGGTGTGGATTCAGGCAGGGCTCTTGTGCCGGGGGTGGGGGTGGGTGTTTGATACAGTAGAGGAGTGCAGAGCAGGGATTGAGCTTGGAATGTAGGCTAGGACAAGACCAGGAACAATTTGTACAGTTGGCCAATTGTGGATGAGGAAAGCAGGGGAGAAGAGGGACAGCTCATGCTCTGGTGACAGTGAAGGGACTGAAATGACGTCACCAGAACACTTGAATTCGAGTCACTCTTCCCCTCCAATAAGAAGGGACTAAGCTGTGCTGAGTGATGGATGGCAGCGGGTGGCAGCGGAGTCCTGAGACGCGCACTTAAAAAGCTCCCATGAGAATGTGGTCGAGTCATTTCAAAATGGGTAGCAGCTCACACCCAGCCAGCAGAGCCATGCTGACAGAGGTCTCATCACCCTGGCTTTATGGCCACCGACCTACGGCACTATTCACCAATCCCTCAGTGTCCAGCCAGTTGGCTCGGTGACTTAAATCCCACTTCTCAAGTCTCAGTGGGAATGGAGATAAGGCATCATTCAGTATTTAGTGATTACTCACTTTTTTAAAAAGTGGATTTAACCCCAGACTCAAACACGTTCTATGACATTGAGCTGTGTGAGAGAGAAATGGTGTTGTTTCCAGCATGTATTCTGTAAGGCGTGACTAGGTGATACCGTGTGAGATATCCCAGGTGAAACAAAGCAATGCATGACTTCGCAGAGCCTGTGGTGTGTGCTCAGTGTTCACTGTTTCACTTCCTCGGAGCCCGTCCCAGGTGTCCCTTCAGAAACACTTGTGTGACTCCTGTATCCAACACTGCAGTCAGGAAAATGAAGTCCCTAGTAGGCCCACATCGCGATTTTATCAGAAACAAACTTCTAGAAGAATCTAGGAAGCTGTGCCAGTATTCGCTGCATAGGAAAGGGGGACCAACTCGATAAGCTTAAGCAGATGAGCATGTGCAAGCAGTTAAGCTGGGTAGAGCTCACTAGTGCTTCCAGCCACGGGGAGGAAATAAATACCCTCGTTCTCTCAAAGCTACTTAGCCATCTCTGAGCCAGTGAGTGTGGCTGGAGAAGGGCGGTCCTACGTCACGTGTCCCCTCTGGCAGGTGCAAGGGCACCCTGGAGCACTCCGTGCTTCCAACCGCCTTTTCCCATTAAAAATTCTTGGTTCCTTTGACACAGTTTACAAAAGCCAGTTTTGCAGTGAGGAGCCAATGTTTGCAGCATGAGTATAAAGTCATCCACTTGTTTACCCCCAAATACAGATACACACAAAGACCCCCAATGACCAGTGCCATAACTAAGGCCTTGCCTTTGCTTCTAACGCTGTATTTAATCAGAATTAACCTCATGCATTTCCAGGGCTCCGAGTGCAGGGCTGTCACAGATGCCTTGGGGTTTTTCTAGCTTTCATGGACTTTGCTAGGTCAGATGAGGGATATTTACCAAGTATTAATCCTCAGTGTATTCCTGGAGAAGTGAGCAAATGAGACAGTAGTGAGGGTGGCTGGTGGTCTTCAGGTTAGTTGACTTGGGAGGCTTTGAGATGCTCTTTAGAATGGCTCAGCATCTCTTCTGGTGCCAGGCATGGGAACTAAAGGCAGTTTAGAAGGAGCTGGAATCTCTTTGAGTGAGTAGGGCTGCAGCCGCTCCTCTGTGTGAGCTACTGTTGATACCTAGGAATCGCTCCCATTTAATCTACTAACAATACTTACCAAAGAACTTTCTCTTTTCTCCTATGTACATTTTTCTATGTAGAGGGAAATTTATCTTGACTTTTTACTATTTTTGGTGCTGAGCATCAAGGGCAGGACTGCTACATGCTAAACACACTGTCTACCACTGAGCTACAGGCCCAGTCCCTGTATGATTTTAAAAATCCATTCATAAAAATCACATTATTGATTTAAAAAGCATAGCTGGGTGGTGGTGGCACATGCCTTTAATCCTAGCAGAGGCAGAGGTAGGAGGATCTCTGTGAATTCAAGGCCAGGCTGGTCTATCTACAAGAGCTAGTTCCAGTACAGCCAGGACTACAGAGAGAAACCCTGTGTCAAAGAACCAATAAATAATATTTTTTTTAAAAGGCACATTTTGAATGTTGTTCCAGGACAGTGATAAATTTACCTCCAAAGTGCAGACCCTTGGGTCCGATGTAAGGCAAGCCGCTGACTGTCACATAGGAAATCATCCTGAGGAATAATATAGTCCCAGGGGCTCCTCAGCCCTGGCTGCACCTGATAATCATGTATGGGACTCTGAAAGGTCCCCACAGTTGTGAGCTCCCCAGGCCAGCAGCAGCACAGCCAGACTCGGGCCTGCCCCTCCGCCAGCACCCTGAACGTGGCCCGTCTGTGCTGCTCTCCCCTCTAACTCACCATCTCTTCTTGGGCCCACAGGAGCTACAGTGATAGCTGCTTCCTGGATTCCTCCCTCTATCCAGAGCTAGCTGATGTCCAATGGTACGGGCAGGAAAAAGCCAAGCCCGGGACCCTCGTGTGAGCCAGCCCGGCCTGTTCTGACCGCCGCACGCCATTCCGAGTCACCTCACTGCCTCTCAGTTGCCTTACCCAGACACACTGTCACCTGCACCAGCTTCGGCCCTTGGCACTTGTTTCTCCTGTCTCCACATCCCCTTCACCCTCAAAAACCTGACTGAGGAGACATTCTGGAAAGTTCCGATCCCACTGTGTGTCCCCTGGCTCTCTTACCCAGAGAGCCAGACAGCAATCCTCAATGGCACCTTGGTGGTTTCCCCCTGCCATGACAGCCCAGGCCAGGAACTGTCAGGGAAGCCGACATATGCAATTCCTGTGGAAGAGAAGCGTTGGTAGAGAAGAGAAAAAAGAAAGACCTGTCTGTGCAGAGACTGTATCGCTGCATCAGCTGCCACCACAGAGAAGAGAGGCTGCCTCGTGGGGACATTCAGTTTACACCTGAGATAGTCTCTGTTCTGTAGTGAGACAGCCTGCAAAAGAACCTAAGGAGGACCAGCGCTTCAGAGACGCGTCGGAGGATCACGAGCGGGTCTATGCTGCCAAAGATTAGACACATTCAACAATAAACAGATAGGAGGGGCCAAGAGGAACACACCTTCTCTGCAGTGAAACTCCTCAGTTCCAAACTGCTTCTATGCAGCACAAGTGAGTCAACCATTTGTAAATCGTGTCCCGTCGTGAGCCATCTGCTGTCCCGCCCACTTCTCCCGACCCCCGAGAGCCTGGAAATGAACCCAACGGGACAGTGAAGATGGAGGAGACTTGGCTGGCCTGGCAGACGCAGAATCTGTCTGGGCGTGAAGGGAAACAGACTGGAAGGAGCGCCCTACGAAGGGGCCTCAGCCTGCACCTCCCAAGCTGCTTTCCTTTTCGGATTGGTCGGAAGCTAAAGGTGATCATTGCCAAAAGCAGGTCTCACTCGTTAAAACAGCCAGTAAAAGTGTAACCTTTCTTTTTTGTACAAGGCGTTTCATTTTCTTTTTTATGGGAAACCAAGGGAAAAAGCACATTGCGGTCTATCCAAGTGTTTTACTGTTGTGGCTCATTTTGTTTGTTAGCACTTGTGTGACAAAGAACTCAGATGGACCTCTCCTGTGTGTCACTTAGTAAGAACCCAAGTACGCCCTTAGGTAGGAAGAATTTTATGTGTCTACCAGCCGGCAGGCAGAGCAGAGTTGAAGCAACTCAGCTCCTAAAGGGCCCATTCACCTCCAGCAGTATCCATGACTTTGATTTACCACCTCTGTCCACAGATACCAAGAGGAGAAAAGAAGGCAAAAAAAAAAAAAAAAAAAAAAGCATGCGTGCAAGCTGCTCGTTTACATGTGTTTTGAGCTATGCTTAACACACAACCAAAAGCCATCGATCTTCAAAGGCCTCGAAATTTTATAATGATGAACCAGTGAACAGTCTTAGCCGGGTTACTCAAGATGAAACCAGAGTTTTCATGGAGGTAGTACATGTGAATGTAAGCGGGGCTTGCGGGGTCGCCTTTGTGATGACTTCCTGTGGGAAAGCAGATCTAAAGTTAGCTGTGGCATCAAAAGAAAGACTTTTGTTCATGTAAGTGAATCCGAGAACAACAGTAGACTCCACCAGCCCAGGAGGGGAAGGACCAACCCTGTGGCTCACTCTGCCGTGGCTTGGAAAGTTCTGGAAGTCAAGTGGGAGCGTTTCCACAGTCAGAGGCATTCATACCATGCGGTCTGAGGCCCATTCAAGGCCAGGTACCCCAGCGCTGGGCACGGCTGGCTTGATGATCCCAGCTTTCAGAAACAGCACTCTTCCGGACACTTGTAGGCGTAACCCTGTAGGATTGGTAGGAACTGATAATGGTACAAATGAACCCAGGGCTTGACGGAGATGGGGGCTACCTTTTTTTGTTCCTAGTATGATGGTCAGAGCTACAAAAGGCAGGTTTATTTGGGGATTTTTTTCCCCCTTCCTTCCCTAATAGGAAATATGATACATTGGGTCAATTTTTTTTACTTCCAAAAAGAGATGCCTGAATAATTAGATTGAACTATGGTGCAGCAGGAAAAGTCCAAAGGGAAACAAAGAATAAGACAAGGTTACATGGTTACAGGTTATAACATAGACAGCAGTTTGAAAATCAGTTCTGAATTCGGTTGGATCAACGAGAGAGGCAGAAAGAATCTAAAATGTAATACATTTGGGGAGCAGAGAGGAATTGTATGGGAGCTGTGAACACCATCAGGAGAGTCTGGTAGTAAGGACCGAGATTAAGTAAAACAGGTTTTACTGTTTAGCTGTGTTCAGTTAATACAATGTACATAATAAGCTTAAGTCCTTTGAGACGGACATACATGGTCAGTGTGGTGGGGAACACTCTGGGTGTTGTATTCAAGCACCTGCAGATGCTTTACAGATCCTATTTCTTTAAAGGAAGATGAGATATGAAGCCCCCAGTCTGGTCTAACGCCCCTACTGGATTCTTTGGGTACATGTAAGAAATTGCCTGTTTCAGCCAGAAGACTCTGTTGTGAGCCAGGTTGTTTATTTTGTTATATGCAGGTGAGTGTTGAAACTGTTAAAAGCCCAATTTGTTTTCATTCAGTATTAGTTTAGTTCTAAATATAGCAAACCTCATCCAGGTGCTATCAGATGACCAATTACTGCTTAGTTAACTAGGTGTAAAGTCAATCGTTTATTACAAGTTGTGTAAAATGGACTCTAGTTTAATAACAGGGAAAGATTAGGTCGCTCCTGAGACTGACTGTAGAGCATGTAAAATGATTTTACTGGATTCTGTTCAACGGTAATCAATGAAAAAGATGTATGTTGTAGACAAAGTTGCAGAATTAAAAGAGAAATCTGCTTTTAATTTATTCTTTTTGTATTAAGGATTTGTATAGTACCTTTACATTTTGCAGAACAGTGTTGTCAACACTTATTAAAGCATTTTCAAAATGAAAACACCCCAGCTGCCTCTTGGACACTGTTTGTTTCTAAATGACAAATGTGTAGCCATGCTCCAGAATCTGTGTCAGGTGCACTGGGCTCTTTTTCAAAAACAAACATCATCAGTCTACTCATGGTATTCCCCAAATATATGTGTGTGGGGTGTATGTGATACCCACTACCCCCACCCCAACACACAGACTCACTCTACAGTCCCTGCCAGCCTGGAACTTACTATATAGCCCAGGGTGGCTTTAAATTCACACCCATTTTGCCTGCAGCTTGAGTGCTGTTATGCAGGGTATTGTTGGCTTCCAGAAAGAAAGGCAAGCTTGCTGAGTTGGTAGAGGCTAGTTTTCTCTTAAATTATCTTCCTCTAAATCATAGCACTGAAGCAACAGCCTACTGCATTTACAGAAGTCCCCCAATTAAGGCATACGGCTACTGTCTTGCTTCAGCAGACTGCTACAACTGTATCCCTGACCCTGACCTCACAGACATCTCTTTCCTAGCAGGAAACTAGAAGTCTAGCCTCCAGGAACACCCTGGATGGAAAGCCCTTCCTGATCACTAGAGTAAGGCTAAAGCTTGCCAGCAAGAGTAACAATGCACTAGACGCTGGCCCTGTCTGAAAGCGAACTAAAGGGACAGTGTTGACAACTCCCTCAACTCTGGAACTGCCTCGGAGGCTTCTTAGGAAAAGTATCAGAACATCCCAAAATAATCTACACTTGAAAAAAAAAGGCCTCTTGTTATCCATAAAGATGTCAGAAATGAGCCTATGCCCTAAGCTCCATCACATGAAAACAACTGAAACCCAGGAAGATGGCACCGTCTCATGCTTCATGTTCCTTTTACGTGTGCGCGTGCACACAATCACTCTTCCTCTCTCCTTGCATAATGTCAACAAGATAATTCAGGTTTCTATTTTGAACACAAACACCCTAATCCTGTAGAAAATACTAAAAATATCCAGTCCTTGCCATCCCAGAATATATATTTAAAAAAACACTTACACGAAACTATCCAAAGAGGAGTGTGCAAGACCCACTTGAGGACTGGTGAGCGACAGTGGCCTCCATCAAGGCATTGCAGACTGGCACAGAACCCGTGTCCTCTAAAGTTTAGGTGCTCGTGGATAAGGCCAAGTAGCACCGGATGGGTATCTCAAGAACAAGGGACTTCCACCAGCATGAAGCCAGGAGGAGACTAAGCCAATTCCCAAAGAATTGACACACTAGACAGAAGCTCTCATTCAGACCTTGTTCAAGGAGTTGGCCTCTGAGTGCAGGAAAAGGTGGAAGAGGTACTGAGGTATATAACCTGCCTGGTTTACACAAAGCCAAGCTCCCAGCAGAGTCACTACTCAGGCAAGATCAGAAAGGTCTACACTGTAATACTGTTGACAGGTTCAATAAGGACTAGAGGTGCACAAACAACACACACACACACCTGAGGTGACGTCTCATGATGCCAAATGCATAGTTAATTCTCTTTTGTCATTGTATGCAACTTACCAGCAGGCGCTAAATGTAGACAGTGTTCCTTGCTTGACTTGCTTGGTCCTTCATGCTGACCACATTCTCCTTATCTTCACCTCCCTAACCTTGAAGTGTCCCACAGCTCTGTTCTTGGACTCCCTTACTCCTGACAATTACTTTTTGGGGGGCTTCCTGTATTTTCTCATCATTATTACAAAATATCTGAGAGAAACAATCTGAGGGAAGAAGGCTTTATTTGCCTCAGTTTTCGAGACTTCAGTCCCTCATCGCAGGTTAGGTGTGGTGGCAAGTCCTTGTGAGCAAAGGCATCTCGCTTCTTGGCTGACCAGGACATAAAAGGCAATACTGGAACAAGAGGCAGATCTAAACATCAAAGACCACCTCTAGTGAGCTACATATACCACCAAGGCTCCACATCCCAAAAGCTCCACGACCTCCCAACAGAGCACAACTGTCTGGGGACCAAGCATCCAGACACAAGCCTGCTGGGAACACTTCAGATTCAAACTGTTAACACTCACATCTGACCTCATGGTTGCTATGCCGACGACACTAGTCTTCTCCACCCATCCTGGACCTCTTCCCTCAATCTGTGCCTCCTACTGCCGCCTCAGCAGCTAGGTGTTTAACGTGATGATGTACAGCACTGGACTCTTGCCCGTCCCCTCCAAATGTGCTCCACCAAAGGCCTTCCTTCTCGACTTAGAGCAGATCCATCCTCCCAGCAGTCATCCCTGACTGTTCTTTTTTCTTCCCACACCTGCACTAAACAAAACAGATATGAATGCTCATCCTGGGAGATTTATATTTCATTGTGGGAGATGGGGAGAAAATACAAACTCATTCATTTACCAGAGAGTGACAGGAAAACAGGGACAAAGATTCAGCCAGGACAAAAAGGGCAGCACCATTTCCTCCAGGTCTGGTGAGAAGAAATTCCGGGAAGCTTGCAGATACTGTTCTTAAGATTGCTTCCAAATTCAACTGGTGTGAGAAAAAGGTGAGGCCACCTCACAGTGAGACCGGCAAAAGGGAGTCAGGATACAGTGATCTCAAAAGCACTTGAGGAAACCTGTGAGCCCCAGAATCAGAGAGATTTGGCTCAAAGGATAGGAGACCCTCTTCTGCCTCCACAAATGTGCAAGGGTGTGCATTTTCCCACACACGTGCGCTTATACTCAGACACATACAAATAAACCAATAACAAAACACTAGAATTTTACAGCAAGTACAAACATTCCCAGTTCCCTCTTCTTTCAAATTCTATGCTTGTAGGAATGCCACTATAATGATACTACTAAACAAGAGAAAAAAAGTGACATTAAACTGATGTACTGGGCTGGAGATGGCTCAGTGACTAAAAGCACTTGCTGCTCTTGCACGGGGCCCAGATTCAGTTCCCGGCACCTATACAGCAGCTCATACCATCTGTAACTCCACTTCTATGGGAGCAGACACCGTTCTGACTTCCAGAGGCGCTACCCAAGTGTGGCATGCCTGTATATGTGCTAGCAAAATAGGAACATAAAACTAAATCTTTCATAAATGTTTAAAAAAATGATATGTGACTTGATTTTTATGGGATCTATCACATAAAGATAGCTGGAAAGGTTATAGCAATATCCAAGCTGGTCGTCACAAGATTAGGTCTCTTCCATTAACCATTATTTAGCATAACAGTCAGTCTGGGAGACATACAATACCCATGTCTAAAAGAATGTATACAGAAAAAAATGCAAGAAAATGGACAGAGCTCAACAGTTAACAACAGACATGAAGTCAGTCTTGATTAGGGTCGTCATAAAGGGCTTTGAAGCTGGGTTGGTCATCAGGCAAACACGAGTTAAATTCACAGTAGAACACTAAGTTAAAATGAAGGTGACAGAAGACACTTCAGATGTGATGAGATGTAGAGAAACCAAACTCTCAAATCCCCAAAGCAGGCATGTGCATTAGAATAAGCTCCATGGGACTCCTTGAAAGGTCTCCTGGACCTGAATGTTTAAGTACCTTACATTCACCTTGGTATAGTCTCTACAGAAATTTATATTCAACAAGAAATGCATGCAAAGAGTTCATGCAAAGTGGAACAACTCCCACAAATCACAACTACATCAAAGAGTAAATACTAGAAACCTAAACTTCCACTGAACAAGTCAAACGTAGGAAGTCAATCAAAGGATACGATCTCCAAATTGGGAAAACACATAAACACAAAACCAAGCAAATCTAGCTTAGCTGAGACTTACTTAACAAAGTATTCAACACTTTCTATCTGCTAAGTTTCATGCCAACCGTAAGAGTCAAGTGTTATCTGTGCATTAAAGAGGACTAAACTCTTGTTCTACATCACCAAACAAGCGGTTCCCTCCTTAGTCAGCGGGTGATTCCTTGTATCAGTAGCGTTCACAATGTATTAGTAAGCCGTCAACTGAGAGCCCACAACCAGAACATGTTTTTAAAGAAACACAAGGGCTGAAGATGCTCAGTTGGCAAAAGCACCCGATATACAATCATGAGGACCCAAGTCTGAATCCCTAATATCCACACAGAAGCTGGACACACACACAGGAATGAACCTGGAACTACAGAGCTCCTACAAAAGGATGGGAGCTGGAGAAGAACCCCAGAACCTGTGTGCCAGCTAGCCCAGAGCATGTAGAGGCAAACATGAGATCTAACTGTCTCAAACAAAGTAGAAGATGAGGACCTGCCTGAGGTTGTCTTCTGAGATCTTCATGGGCTGCAACACCCACCCACCACCAACCACCACTACCACCACCAAAACACCAAAAAAATCAACAAAATCCAGACTAGGAACACATCCAACACGGCCAGGCAGTGCTTGTTCCTGTCCTATGCATGTGTGTCTATATGATACTGGGCCTTGAAGCATTCACTATTTGCTGTGACTGTCAGAAACACTCCGATCTACAACTTCAACTCCTTCACGGGACAGAAAGTCTCCGCCAAGCCCAGGTTGCAACACCTGTAGGTCATAACGTTTTCTGAGTCTTCAAAGGAGAGCACTCCCAGGGCAAAGGCAATTTGGTTTTGGCAGATTGTAAAACTGCAGCTGCAAGCCTGTGGGAATGACTTAGCTGCCATGCAGGAAGCTTAGTGAATGAAGCTGAGATCACTAAGTTAACACCCAAAAAGAAAATGGAAACTCTGGAGCCAGAGCCGCTGCTCTCCTTTGCGTGAAGGTATGCACTAAGCCTGGCCAATGAGGCGGGACAGGGGTGGCTGACAGTGATTTCAGAGCAGGGCTTAGGGACAGGGAAGAAGCTAAACAAAGAGAAGTGGCCTAGTTAAAATACAGCCATAATCGGCGGGGCACGGATTAGTTCAAGCATGCTGGGTAAAGTACCCCAGTTTAAAATGTGGAAAATACACAAATAGTCAATGCCTTAATAGTAAACTATGTTGGCTATTGTCTAAACCCTTTTTTGTAACGAGCACAACTCCAGAATCTTGGCTGGGTTAGCTCCCACACAGCTGTCGCTGCTAGCCAGCCACACAGCCTCCCTAGCTATTCCACACCGCCAGAACTTGTTTGTAAAATTTCAAAAGACTTTGGGTTATTGTTAACCATTAAAGTTCCAGTGGTTAAAATTGAGTCAGTGCAACTGCAGAGCCTGGGATGAAAACCAGTTGCCACAGCAGTTTCCCAAAGTGACCCTCTGGAGACTGCGCTGGCCTCGGCGCTCCGGACAGCTGGAAACTCTTCCATCAACACACCGTGAGAAAGTGCTTCTCGGCTCAAGATTCCCAATACGATGCCATACCATAAATTTCCAGAGGATAAAGTTATGCTTTCAGGGGATTCGTGGGAGAAGACTGCAGCAGGGAGGCAGTACAATCCATTAAATTATCCGCTCAAGATGCCCAGACAAAAGAAACTTAAAGCTTAACTTGAGATTCCCTTTCACTCAGGCTTCCCTTCTGTGGTGAGAGGCATTAGTGGGGCTGTGGGCCAGGAAAGGAACTAGACATGAATGTCCAAATCTAAGCCCCACGAAGACTGAGGGAAACCTATCTCATCTTTCCCAGGCTGTTGATTTCCAGAATTCCTTTTCAACAGCAATAACAAAGGTTTGCATCCTGAAATGATTTACTGAGGTCAAACTCCAGAGTGGTTCAAGTACTGAACTAGGTTAAAAAGTGCCAGAAGGAAGGGCTCCAAACTACAAGGCCTACCACTATCGGGCTACTTGCCAGTCCCTGCAGGCATCATGACAGATTCCCCAGTTCTGTTAGTGACCTCTGCCTGCCTCCTTCTGCTCTCCCAGGACCTCACTCTCCCTCCTACAACATCTCGACAAGGCCCCTGCTTTATTTCCTTAGTCCCCACCCCCCAAACACGAAAATCACTGCTATTCTAGACTGCCCCCTACAGGCTGTTACAATGACAGAAAAAATCTGTCAGCTCATCTTCCACCGTGTGACAGCAGAAAGCACTGTATAACTGTACTCTGGAACACTAACTTGTGGGTCTCTTCCCCAGCCAGTCACACACAGGACAATCTTCTCTTGATGCTGGGTAGTGGTTCCTCCACAAGGATCCCTCAAACTTGATCTTCAGAGAAAACGACGGATACTAATCTATAGCAGCATACAACATCCAAAATAGTACATGAACTTTAATGCTTAAGTATAAAAATGGGCTCTGTATTGGATGGCTTTACCTAGCCACAGGCCAAGTGTTCTGAACACATTTAAAACAGTCTAGATCAAGCTGATTAAGTTACGGACATGAAATGCATTTTCAATGGACTGTATGTTCACCTATATGATCAGGACTAATCCTACACTGAGTCAAGGAGCACCTGCATTCATTTCTAAAGAAAAAAGTGTTTTTATTAAATTTGAATACAGAAAATCCCAGTTCTTGTGAATGGAAGGATGGAGAGGGAGGAAGAAATATAGTTAATTAGAACTGTGACTGTTTAAAAGGAAAAGTATATCTTTATTGTTTTAAAAAATCTGAAACAAAATACAGAGTATATGCAGAAGTAAAATTTCCATGACTTGAATGAAATATCATTTTCTACATATTCTAGGAGTATCTATATAGCTTCTTTAATTTCAGACATAAAAAACTTTTCTGAAAGCCACGTATTTAAACATGCTTCCTTCCACCCTAACTCAGAAAGACTAAAGTCACATCATAGTCCTATAGAATACATACCCTCCTCTTAAAACAACAAAACCAAAACCAGCCCACAATGATCAAGTTTACGAAGTACTGAAGTCGCATGATACAGTTTCTTCTTCATGTGGAACATTAATAACAGAAAGGAAGACAACATAAAATCACTTTCCATGCTGTGACCTGACAGCGATAATAAATAAATTATTATCCAGTAATAGTTATAATAAGGCATTATCCTGTAATATTCATAAAGACCTTCATAACAAAACCACATGTCACAGGTAGGGACTTGTTGCACATCTCATCAAGGTTTCTCATTGTCAAATAAATCCCTCAGAGTTCTACCCAATTTAATCATAAGAAAAGACTTGTTCTACAGTGTGCGGGGGAGGGGACGACGAGGACTCTGATTCAAACCAAGACAGACACCTACCTCCCTGCAAGTAACTGGCAGAGACTGTCATATCTATGCACAGCCTTGGACCTCAAGAAGCCCAAAGTGGCTTTCACTCTTTCTAAAGAGAGACCAGAATAAGCAACTGTGACTCTAAGCCACCTCCAGCAGCCTCAGGCTCCCATTCTCTGCAACTCTAAACCTGGACCTAGATGCAAGTAAAGACAGGAAAAACTTAATGATTCCACATTTACTACTTGCTGCTAATACAATCATTATTGTTATTATCACACAAGTACATACTATCCCATCGTAGCCACAGAGCGGGGCCTTATTGGCCCTTGGTCTACACTGATAAGATATATGCCAGGCAATAATGATCTCCTGTCCTCCCCCAGTCAGCGGGCTCAGCATTTTACCTACACAATAATAACGTGAGGTGTGTACCCTCATCAGTGCCAGAGAAGGAAGCCAAAGCCCGACAAGATGAAAGCACCTGTCCACCGCTGTTCTGTTAGTGCATGGAGCTGAGAAGCTGCCAGTCCTCGTGTGGTCCCTCAACCTGTCACCTAACAACCCAGTCCTGCCAGCGCTGCAGCAGGGAGTGGGCACAATGACCAAAGGTCAACACTGTAATACCCAGAGCAAGTCCTCATTTGGTGAGATTGGACTGAGGACCGAGTGTGGCATGGCGAAGCCAGGACCTCCGCCCTCTTCAGCTTTCCCATCCTAAGGCCGCCACTCTCAGCTGACCCCAATGTCCATCACCTCACCCTCACCTGGATGCGCTGGTGTTCTGACGTATGCTGGTGGAATTTACCGTCTTTGCTTTCCAACCTTCTATCTATTAATCCTATCTGTCCAGAAAGATGACAAATACTAAAATGTACTCTGCTTAGAAACAAAAGCAAGTCTGAAACACAATAAAAAATAACACGTAACAGTAGCATTTACATTCTATTGCAAGATGACAAAAGTCCACAAAATATTTAAGAACTGTAAAAGAACATTTCAATGGTACCACACTTTTGTTGAAATACAAAAAAATATTTTCTATAAATACTACATAAGAGGAATATGTGGAAATCACGATAATTTACAGAAAGCTTAAACCTGACCTCAAATATTTCTAATTATCTAATGACATATTTTGGGTCCCGGGGAGAAAGGTCATTTCAAACCCCTTGCTGGTTGTTGTTGTCTACACATCTACACTATGGATAACAGCTTTAGGACTTAAGTTTTCAACTGATTAAAATGAAAACAACACACATAAATGTGTTAGAAGTCTAATACCATATGAAAGCCAACACAGACTTGCATCCGATGGCGCTGTCCTGTGGAATTCTTTCTTTGCTGCTGTGGTAAGGCCAGAAGTCCACATGCTGCTTGCCTAGGCTTCTTGCTACGCGCACATGTTATGTGCACAGCGTACATACATCTCATAGCGCATTATACTCCACACATTTTGATGGATCCGTAGGAAAGTGCTTTTGGCAAATTGTCATTAACCTCTTCAGTCCCTAAGAACATAAAATAAAGGTTCATTATGACACGACTGTACTAATTCCACTGCCTTTCTCTGTAGTACTTAGTCAATGTCCCTACCAAAATAAAGCATCACCATCAGTTCCTAGATCAATGTTTATTCATGGGCACTGCTTATAACAACTCTGTCAATGAAGTATGATAGGCATTCTGAGTCGGGGTGGAGAGAAGCATGTTCAAGGATGCGGTTCTCTCAGAAAAGTTTTCCCCATCTCCAGAGTTAAAGAAGCTATAGAAACTACTGGGATAAATAAAAAATGACCTCGTCCATTCAAGTCATGGAAATTTTACATCTATATAACTACAATTTTTTGTTTGAAACTTTTTAAAACAAAAGAAATTAGGAGCAAAGAAACTGGAAATACATTTTTCTATCTATATTTGAATATATGAACACTCAGACAAATGGAGTATTTACAGCAGTAAAAATGCACAACTCTACCACCTAACAATTCAGCCCTCCTCAAACAGGCTCCAAGAATTAAGCCCTAAGTGCCCAGGACAACCACTGCAGGAGATGTTTCTCTTTCAACTTATCCTTTGATCTGACCTTTTAAAATTCTTAGTTGGCCATCAGATTTTAGTAATTTTTCTTGGCTTTCTCATCCACTACTAGGTTAAAAAATGTTTTCCCAACCTGTATACAAATTCTTTGTATCGCTTACAAACAGGCCAAGGACAATGGCAGAAGCTTACAGCAAGCCACCATAGATCTCTCTAGAGAAGAATTTACAATCAGAAAATAATCTTACTAATTGTTTAATCAATTTCCAAATTTCCCTGTTTGCAAGAAATGTTTGTTAAATGTCTTACTAAAATCTTTATAACATTATTGGCTAGTCATTAAAACAAGGACAGATAACAGCAGTGTTTAATTTTAATGACTTGTACTGACCCATACCAATTTTTTAACCAAATTATTTTAAGGCTTCTCACTTAAGTTCACAAAAATTAAAATCACGCAGTTCCCATCACAGTAAGAAAAATAATAAAACTTAGGTCTAAAATAGTAGCACTGGCTATAAATGAACAGGTAGCATATTGCCTGGTATTTTAGGTTATATTCTTCTCAAATCCACCTTCTTCTCTCTAACTGACATGAAAGGACAGCTTTAAACAAGAGATTCATGACCCAGTGGGAAGAAACTACAGGGCACAGTTATATGAAATAGTAACAGAAGAAAACAGCTGGAAATCTAGGAAGAAAGCGTTAAAATAGCATTGGATACCTAAAATTCCATTATTTAGAAATCTTAAACTCTAAATATTCAAACAACTTTATTTTTGCTTTTGTTTTTTTGTCTATAATTTTAGACAGGGTCAAACAAGTTCCCAGGCTGGTCTGGAGCTCACAACATGTTTACTGCTGTGCCCACACCAAGTAACTCTCATAAATTCACTGAAATCATCAAAAACAAACTGAATCAGTTTGTTCCTAGTAGAAACTGCTAACACAGACATCAACTACTGTGAACTGAGCTATGATCTAATAGACTCAACATCTGGACATGATGTTGAAACATTCTGAGTCTTTCCCAGATCCAAACATTGGCCATGTCAAGCTCACTAAGAATCAATGTGGAGAGGTTCTCTTTCCACTGATTCCTATGATAAAGAAGCTTCCCAGCAGTGGGAAGAAGAGCACGTAATTTACTTTGCTCCTCATATTTCTCCCACTAGCCAGATATCTGCTTTAGGATAAAGAACTTCAGGTCCATATGATGTGGGATTCCCCTCTGTATGCTATGACTATGTTTTACCATTGGTTAAAAAAGAAGTTGCTTTGGCCTATGGCAGGACAGAATATAGTTAGGCAGGAAAACTAAACAGAATGCAGGGAGAAAGAAGGCAGAGTCAGGCAGATGCCATGTGCTGCCCAAGAAGCAGGATGTGAGGTAACAAACCACAAGTCTCGTGGTAAAACATAAAATAACAGAAATGGATTAATTTAAGATGCAAGAGCTAGCTAGGAATACACCTGAGCTGTTGGCCAGACGGTGTTACAATTAATGTAGTTTGTGTGATTATTCGGGTCTGGATGGCCAGGAAACAAAAGCACTGTCTCCTTTTAAATCCATAATCCCAACTTCCCCTACTGTTGAGCTCTAATCATAAGTGTGCAAAATTTGAACTGTAGCTATGGAAACACATATGACATCACTGATTTGGCATCTCTAAGTATCCTGACGGAATAGATGGAAGAAAGGTGCAGTGAGGAAAGATGAGACACAAGGGCTTCAGTCTGCAGCCAAGCATGTCACGAACTGTTCTGAACAGGAGTCAGGGAACGTTCCCTAACTAGAGCTTCAGACAAGCTGCTCCACAGAGACACATTTATGAGGTGCCTTTACACTCAAGAGTCTAAGAACAGGCACAGTCACGAGCCCTAACCAGGGACACTACTATAAATCCTTGCAATAAGGATTGATAGGCTAGCATGGATTTTTAACAGTGTGCCATTCTCAGGACATGGTTAGGGTTTTGTTTTTGTTTTTCCCAAATGGAAACAAGTCTTTTCAGCTAGAGTCCCTTAGCTTACCGTTTCACATTGCTGTGGGTGGATAGGCAGGACAACCGTGTAACTCATCATACAAGTAGACAGCTAAGAGCCATTAATATTTTAACTGACTTCTAAAAACACAGGGTCTCATTCGACAGCCCTGGGCACAAACTTGTAATCCTCCTGCCTCAGCCTCCTGTGGACTGACATCTCTACAGTCATACGTGTAATCCTCCTGCCTCAGCGTCCTGTGGACTGACATCTCTACAGTCGTTATATGTGCCACCTGACTTTAAATTCTTATGAAAACATATTTATCTCAACAGCCGGTTTAAGTATTCTTTACTGTATATGAAGCACTATGCTAAACTCTGGAAAAACAAAAAACAAGCCAGGAGAAAAACAAGAAAACCCCACCCCAAGTAATAAGGCAAGAAGACAAGATCCATCCATCCAACAGTGGTAAGAGCTGTGGACACAGTGAGGGCTGTTTGTGGCTGGACTTTTCACTCTGACATTAAGAGAGCTAATATCATACTGTGCAACATAAGCTGCATTCTAACAGCAACAGTGTAGGTGCTGAAGAGAATCAAAGACAACAAGGACAAACTCAGAGGAGACACTGCAAAAATTCACAGAAGAGAGGTTAGTGGTTGTCTAAATGGCACCTAGAAGAGGACAGTCCCCAGACCTTTCAATATAGAATCACTGAGATTTGAAAGTAGGAAGTTTATAAATTGTGACAGAAAGAGAAAAGGACAATCCTGGGGTCTGAGTTCATGTTGTGTAAAATAGCACAGATGGGCCATAAATTTAAAGTATTCACCAGCCTCACTCCTTCCTACCCCCAACTCCAGGGCACAGAGGCAAACACTTCCATACCACTTTCTCCTTGAAGATCACCTACTGACTCTTGACTGTGAAATTAGGAGGATTTAATGGGCTTATGTCATGCCCACTGGCCCCATGCATGTATACACACTACATATTTTCTTACCCATCCTCCCTAAATCACAGTTATCAGAAATGTCACACATGCGTCCTTTATGCATCCTTTAGTGGTATTATGATGACCACTCCTTTTGTAGGTCTGTTCCCCTTTAAAGTTCATCGCTTCCATTTTGTGCTGGGATCGTCCAGTCCCTCTGTTCCATTCTGTTCCTTGTCATGTACTGCGACTGCCAGGACATCCCTCACCTTTAGCCTTGGAATTCCTCTCACCTTGCTCTACACTTGATTGCAATTCCTGGATTGTGTGGTTTGCTTCACTCATTTTAGTGGAGGCTATCCTCAGACAGAAGTAGCACACTACCTATCCTCAGACAGAAGTAGCACATTACCTATCCTCAGACAAAAGTAGCACACTACCAACAGAGGGAAGACAGTCCAGCTCAAACCTAACCCCATGTCTTACTAGCATGGGATTGAGAACATGCCTGTCTGTCTCAGGGCCGCATGTATCAAAGAGAAATGGTGGTATCATCCTCGTTCTGTTGCCTTCTGGAAGCACTGTGAAAACTGTGATTAAGACTCCAGGGCTCTAGGTCAAAGGTCACATTTGTGAAGCCTTGCCTGCCAGAAATGTCATTACCCTAACTCCACCTGACTGAGAATTCAGGAAACTGAGCTGGAATTCACTTCCTTTATAATTGAAGGGACTTCACTCCACCCTAGTTTAGGCACTCCTCATGGAAAGAGGCACAGTGAGACAAACTCCTGAGATGCTGTGAGTGATCTGCTTTGCTCTAATCTGGGGGAGATTTCATTCATATGGCCATCAGGTATTTATCGTGGAGGTTGATCTGGCCTATTTCCTCTCAAGCCTGTGGTTGAAGCTGAGATCTGGTGGGGTAAACACCTACTGTTTCCTATCATCTGAGCTGCTGAAAGCAGCACTGCACACTGCAGTTTATATCAGCACGCCAGTGTTCCATGGTATTAAAGGGCAGCACTGTGTAAAATGCCAGTGTGTTTTCTTCTGAAAATGCAGCGTAAAATACACCACCGGAAAGTACCACATGGGTAGGAGGTTCTTACCGTGCAACAACTTGCCACTTAAAATTACCTCAGCCGAGACTTGACTGTAAATGTGTCATGTATAATCTGAGTGCTAACATATGAAGAATACTCACCAATAACTATACTGTGGTGTATACAATGTGTAAGTCATGTCAATGTATAATCCGAGTACTAACATATGAAGAATACTCACCAATAACTATACTGTGGTGTATACAATGTGTAAGTCAAGCTGTGATCACCTACCGGAGGAATCAAAGTTCATATTATACTAATTTTGGCACAAGATGAGTATATTGGAAATACATAAATAATATAAATATATAAAATGTTCCACAAGGCTGGGCAATGCTATTACAGATAAAATAGCCAAAACCTGAGATAAAATGTTGAGATACCAAAAAATTCAAGAATTTAAGATTACTGAAAACTTGCCAACAGGGTCTTTAGGACATGTGTGATGGCAAGAGCTTTCTAGGATGACCATCTTGTGTGACGATTGCAGGAAGGATACCAACAGGAAGCAGAGCAAAAACTTGAACTGATAATCTAATGGGCAGGTCCAAGGACTTCACAAAAGGTTGGCAGAGCTCAGGGCCAACAAGGGGATAGTACAAGACCCTACAGTTGGCAATCTTGAGACTGTGGCCAGGTCACACTCTAAAAAGGCAAGAGAAGAAACACAGCAAATGTTTGGAGACAGCCACTTGGGGAAGCAAAGGCCTGAGGCAGAGGGATCAGCAGGAACTCTGTAGAGAAAACACATCTGAAACTTGTCCCACTACAAAATAACCCCAGTTCCTTCAGACCTGCCCCATGGAAGCCCCAGGGAGAAGGAACCGGCCAGTGCTCACAGAGCAAGGTAGGAGGCCATCTGGGAGAAGGACTGCAGAGGAGGTGCTGTTACTTTTCTTCTCAGCCTCCTTCTGACTGTCTTTTCATCAACACTACCAGAAGGCCACTAGAAATGACCAAATTATAGTCTCTAAATAATTAAGTTTCTATAATTTGTGTAAAAGAAGCTTTTCCAAAATCTGGTCCAAAGGTTTCCTCTGTATTTGGAGGAATGAACCATCCTTGAAGTTACCACCAACAATCTAAACCTAACAAGCAGACTTAGGTGAGCTAATAAGCTACACAGCTTTCGTTTGATCTGCCCGGTGAGAAAACTCCCCATGGTGTATTTAATCTTGTGAAGAACAGAGCACTTCAAACAGCATCACAGTTTACAGAGGATGGAGTCAGACTCAGCAAAAGCCTCCTGGATTGCTCTCCACCACATTTCCTAAAACATGTTATGCTAGTATTTCAAATAAAAATAAGAATCATTTCACACATTCTAGGTTTCCATTTATATGACGTTCAGTCACAGGCGAAACTAGGAAAGACCTTTAAATCAAGAGTAGCACTAACTAGGGGGTTGGAGAGATGGTGTAGTGGTTAAGAGGACCCATGGGTCTACTCTTGCAGAGGACCCATTTTTGGATCGTAGTACCCACATGACAGCTCACATACATAAATTATAAATGAATAAATCTTTTAAAAAGAAGAGTAGCAGCCAGGCAGTGGTGGCGCACACCTTTAATCCCAGCACTCGGGAGGCAGAGGCAGGCGGATCTCTGTGAGTTCGAGGCCAGCCTGGTCTACAAGAGCTAGTTCCAGGACAGGAACCAAAAAGCTATGGAGAAACTCTGTCTCGAAAAATTAAAAAAAAAAAAAAAAAAAAAAGAAGAAGAGTAGCACTGACTGATGGGAAGAGAGGACCAGGTACAAGGCAAGCATGAAGGCATGTGCTGAACGTACTAGGAACATTCTGGACCCAATCTTAATTTTTTGTTTGTCTGGGTTTTTTGTTTTGTTTTGTTTTTCAAGAAAGGGTTTCTCTATTTAACAACTCTGGCTGTCCTGGAACTCATTCTGTAGACAAGGCTGGCCTTGAGCTGCCAATCTTAATTTTTAATAAGGTCCATTATCCAGAATCACTGGGCTGTAGAATTAAGGTTATATATTTTAAACAATACAGTATTTCTTGAGGTGTATTTTAAAAGAAGTAATTATCAAATGATTTCGCATGGTCTCCTTATCAATATCTTCATGCAGAAAAAAATGGATTATACATTTGCCAGGGGTCACAAACTGATCTATAAAGCCACCTTATTCTTTTTTTTTAATATTTATTTATTTATTATGTATACAATATTCTGTTTTGCGTGTATGCCTACAGGCCAGAAGAGGGCACCAGACCTCATTACAGATGGTTGTGAGCCACCATGTGGTTGCTGGGATTTGAACTCAGGACCTTTGGAAGAGCAGGCAATGCTCTTAACCTCTGAGCCATCTCTCCAGCCCCCCACCTTATTCTTAATACTGTTTGGAATGCAGCCTTTGGCTGCTGGTGAAGTTTACAGGAAGCACAAAGATACTTAGTAACTGACCCTGGAGAAAAAAAAAATAAAGGTTTGTCACACCCTGATTTGAACTTCAGGCAACACACTGGTTTTGTTTTTTTTTTTTTTTGTTTTTTTTTTTTTCCGAGACAGGATTTCTCTGTAGCTTTGGGGCGCTCTTGTAGACCAGGCTGGCCTTGAACTCTTAGAGGCCAGGCGGCCTCTGCCTCCCGAGTACTGGGATTAAAGGCATGTTTTTTTATGTATGAGTGCTTTGTCTGAACGTTTGCCTGCATGCCAGAAGACAGCGTCAGATCCCATTATAGATGGTAGGGAGCCAGCATGTCGTTGCTGGGAATTGGAATCAGGATCTTTGGAAGAACAGTCAGTGTTTTTTAACCACCGAGCAATCTCCCCAGCCCACATCTCTTTTTAAATTTTATTTGCATAGTAGTTTTATTTAGGTGCCATGACAACAAACCTAAAAGTTTTCCCAGAGGAACTATCTTAAGCAACGAAAGAACCAAAAAATATTGTTACAAAGAAAGGTTGGAAGAAGAACAGGTCATTACACAGCTTCAAAATAAACCAGAAATCTTCTTAAATAAATAATATATACACATAGATATAGAACGATGTATATAGAGATAGATGTGTGTGTGTATATATTTAAAAAGAAAGGGAGTCTAGGAGGAAGCAGAAACCACACCATTGTCTACAACAAGAAATGCTGTCTTTAAAATTATTTAACTGTATGAACTTTTAAGCATAATGCAGCCATGTATAAATGAGCATGATTAGCAAATTTAATCCTTAAGAAATTATATTTAATTGTCAAAGGAAAAAACCACTCTATTTTAACTCAAAGCTTTTGCCTTCACTACAGTCATGGGTGGTTATTAGGAACTGAAAATGAAGCCAGTGCGATGTTCAGCAGGCAAGGGCACTTGCAGCCAAGTCTAACGACCTGAGTTAGAGCCCTGGAACCCACATGAAGGCAGAAGGAGAGAATACTCTGACCTTTAAAGGGCACCACTGCTCATGCCACCCGCCCCACATACATACACAGAATAAAAGCAGAATGTCATTCTAAAACTTAAAGAATGAAAATGTCCTTGAATTTACCCAAGTGTATTTGAACTCTGTAAACTGCAAAATTCACAGTGGGGAGTCAGGTTGAAATGTCTTTAAATGCTAATGTACGCGAATAAGGCATAAAGTATGCCACAAAATTAACATTCAGCACTTGGAACTAAAATACAAACAAAGATAATTCATGAATATGGTAATAACTGTGCTCTGGCACCTCATCTGAATACACTTTATGCTTTTAAGCAAATTTTAAGTAAACTTCCAAAGCTCATCCTCAAGTTTAAGAACCACCACCCAGCAAGTTGTTACACACAATCTGGGATTTGTGACAGTTTGCCAAAGCTAGATAGAGTTGATTTTGTTTTTTATTCACATAGAGTTTTCAGAAAAGTTTAGCTCAGTGCAAACAAGTTTGTATGAGGCATGCATAACTTCAAGAAAACTATAAATACTTCAGACTTGATAAAACATAATTAAAAAATATTTTCATATGCCGCTTAAAAATGATATACATTGAAACAAGACTTCACTTTCCATATCTTCTTCTATGCAAGTCCCATTATTATAAAACACTCTAAATTTGTTGCCTTCGCTAAACTCCTATGAACTCTTATGAACTCATTTGATGTATTTTTTTTTCTTTTTCTTTTTTTTTTTTTGGTTTTTTCGAGTCATTTGATGTATTTTTTAAAAAGCAAGCTGGATATGGTTCATATCAATAACTCAAGCACTCAGGAAGTGGAGGCAGTGTGTTTGAAGCTGGCCTGGACTACACAAAACAAAGCAAATGCCAACAGTTTTATTTCAGTGTTAAAAAAGCTAAAAGCATAATGATTTCCCTTCTTTCCATCATGTATGAAAGTCACTGGTGTCCTTCGCCATGAAGCTGTCCTAAATGCAAGTGCTCATCAGCACCGAACTTCCCTCTATCCTCCTGTGTACGCCCTACTCACTGTGCACGTCCCCTTGTGTGGGGCTGTAGTCTCACACTTCCAGCTACCTTTAGTCAACGGTTATCATCATGGCTTCTTTCACAGAATCAGCAGAAGCTCAACAGCAGCCTTCACCATTTACTCACCATGACATCGAATAAATCACCAACCTCACCTCATCTTCTTATGCAGAAACGATACTTCACATTATCCCAGAGGGCAGAGTACCACACTGTTTCCAGGGAGGCCATGATCACATAACTTTCAGTACAGAATAGGGTTACAATTGTTCCTTTTATAATCAGTTACTAACAACCTCCCTCTTCTGCTCCTCCTCCAATTATAAACTATCTCTCCTACTTCCTCCTATACATACTGTTTCTCCCTCCTGTCCTTTATTCCAAGCTGGCTCAGAACAAGACTATCCCAACTCCACCTATTGAGTGCTGGGGTTACAGCTGTATGTCTCCATGTCTAGCTTATGTTGTTAATTTCTTACTCAGCCTAATTAATAAACTGAATTTTATCATAGTTGAAATATGTATGTGGGCTGTGCAGAAGTATATGTAGGGTTCAGTATTATCCAATGTTTCAGGTATCCACAGGAGGCTGTTGAACGCACTCCACACAGATAAGGGAACTAACATAATCCTTTTCTTACAGTTTAGATTTTAGGTTTGGAGAATTAATGTTAGAGCAGGGCCTTCAAGATGGCTTGATAAAAGCAATTGCTGTGCAAGTCCGATGACCTGAGCTCTGTTCTCAGAACCCACACAAATGCTGAGAGAACTAACTCCACAAAGTTGTCCTCTGACCTCTACAGGCATGCCACGGCACGTGTGTGCGCATGCACTCACACCCACACGCACAAACAACTTTAAAAAAAAAAAAAAGATTGTCAGAGCAAATCTTGTCCCTTAAAGCTGCTTACCTGAATGTATTTCCGCTGGGTTTCATCGTTTAAAACATGTGCAACATGCTTGGAAAAAATCTTTTCCCTGCCAGTTCTGGCATGGATACCAACCATAGTGACACCAATAGGCCAAGGAGCATTCCCAATGGCCATCTGCAGGTACGCATCATTCGCCTGAAAGAAAGTTTAAGAAATCAGAAAGACAAAAAACATATAATCTTTATTTCAAGTATTGCATAGCCCTTCCTGGCATACTTTTTATCTACCTCCTGATGAAAATATTGTGTTCCATTACTCAAATCAAGACATTCAAGCATGGGATGACTTACTGCCCTGCCCAGAAATACAAAATGCCTGTGGAAAGAGAAGCCAATGCTAAGCATGCAAGAAAAACAAACAACCCTTTCAAGCCTTTGTGCACTGGAAAGTAATGCATTTCAGACTGGAATAGCAGGTAGCTGACTTGACAAGCTAACAGAAACTCTATTTTAGATCCGGTCTTCACCGATGTGGCTGGAAGGTAGACAGAAGCTCGCTAGCCTTTCACCATCCCACCTGCAGTCACACAGCACATCACACAGCACTATGGGTTCTGGAAGCAGTGTGTATTGGACGGGGGTGCTCTATCTGCTGGGATGGATAAACAGACAGGACACAGGTTTACAAGTCAAACGGCTGAAGCATGGCCAGCATGAGAACAGCATTTTTTCACTTTGATCCCCAAATTCCCCAACCCAAGTCTCCCACCTGCCAAGAGCCTTAAAACAAAAGCTATGAAAAGTCAAGACAGAAACCAGTAAGACAAATGGCTTGATTTTACAGTCAGGTCTGGCTAGCTGTGAGAAAGGAGGGGAAAACAGAACAAAGAGCAAGTAACTTCTAAAAGATCTCCAAGGACTTCAAGAAGGCTTCAGATATCCTATCCAAATCCCAACTGTGTGGTGTGTAAAGTGGGTGAAAACACAGCACCACAGTGAACTGGGAGATCACCGTGTACCCTAGAGAGAGCGGCAACCTGTTCTGCAACACATTTTAGAGTTTCATTTTATAGTGAATTCTGCTTTTTTTTTAATCACTGGCTCTCATGTAACTTCAAAACAGGACTTTTAATAATAAATCTTCCAATTTTCAGTTTCTCTGAAATTTCAAAGAGAATTTTCCAGCACATTATTAAAACTGGTTCTTTCTGTCATTTATACAAAACAAGGTCTCACCTGGTTTTGATATACACCATGAGAATAAAATAATGGAAAATGTATCGACATTACAATGTTTTCTGCCATCATGGAGGCCCTGGCCATGTGTTACCATGCAGTCATCCTTATTAAATACCATGGAACTGGGAGGGGGGGGAATATGATCAAAATATGTATGAAACTCTCAAAGAACTAAAATTTTAAAAAGACATGCAATTAACAGGAACTAAGAATGAAATAAAAATGTTTTCACTGAAACAACTGGCTTTATTAAGAGTAAAATCACTTCAGTAAGCCAATGCTCTCATCCAGAAAACAGCAGCCACCCGAGAACGCCAGCAGCCCCCCCCCCCCCTCCGAGAACGCCAGCAGCCCCCGAGAACGCCAGCAGCCCCTTTTTCCCTCTCTAGCGCTCCAGGATCACTGCGATTCAAAGAAACCTTCGCTCTAGGCTTCTTGGGAGGCTCAGCCATTAGAAGCCTGTCCTCACTATTGTCTCATGGGTAGCCAGAGCCCTTCTCTCCCTTCTATCAACTAACATCCCTCCAGCGTCCCCTTCCAAACCCTCTTCAAAAGTCCTGGACCCTAGGGTGCTTTCCCCAGCACCTACCCCAGAAGCAGTCACAAGTGAAAACCCTGGAGTGAATGAGAGCGGCCCTCCCCAGTGGGCCCCTGCACTACCACAGTGTTGTAAGGGTGGAGACGAGTCCGGGCAGCCTTCCAGGCACATTTCCCACAGAAACAAAGCACAGGTGAAGTCCGCTGACTCAGCAGTACGGTAGTCCACATATATTACAGATTAAGTGGGCTTCTGTGGCAGTCTGAAGAGCCTTGTTCCTAGGGGAGGATTCGTTCCATGCCATAATCAACTATTTATACACTGAAATTTAATCCCATCATAAAAGAACACTGCCTGTGTACAGCATATGCTCTGAGGAACCTTTTAACCCAGTTTTGCAATGACTAAGAAAATACAGTTGTGGTTTGAAGTTTGTTACTCAATGCCAAGAGAAGAAAAAGGCTTTTTTCCTACTAGCTTGCTTCACACTCATTCTTAAATGCACTATGCACGATCCTTCCCATTCCAAATACCCATTACATTATGACATAATTTAGATAATGGTCACAACAGCTGCAACACACAGTCTAAGAATTTACCTTTACATACTCTCTCTGCAACATGAACTTTATAATATCTGTTATTGATTCTTTAATATCAGCAGGAAGATTCTGAAAAAGAAAAAACATAACTAGTTTTGGAAGCTACTAAATGTAGTGAAAACTACTTACTCTAAATCTATATACTGATTAAATAAAGAAAAACAAGCTGGGTGGTGGCACTGCACGCCTTCAGTCCCAATACCCGGAAGCAGAGGAAGCGGATCTCTGTAGAGATCCTGTAGGCCGGCCTGGTCTACAAAAACTAGTTCCAGGACAGCTAGGACTGTTACAAAGAGAAACCCTGTCTTGAAAAACCAAAAAAAGAAAGAAGACAATCACGTGCTAATGAAGTACTTTCCAGAAGCCTTACCCTTTTCCGGAGCTTCCTGAAGAGCGGCCTGAGGTAGGACTCGGTCTGCTTCTGGGTAGCACTGTTCAGTTTGCCCTGCACGCTGCGTTTCACATAATCCTCTCTGGCATTCAATTCTTTAGCCCAAACGCCAAGAAGAAACTGTTGACAGAAAAAGTTAAGGCTGCAACGCCACCCAGTGGTTCGGGTAGAATAGCTCCCTAACAGAGCGAAGGTATACAATCATTCTTAGAAGACGATCTCGCTGATTAAATTGTCATCAAGTAAGATTAAATTAACAGCTGTTTGACGTGTTTCAAAGTAGAAAACACCCTAGTTCATATATCACAACATGTGAAGATGGTCCGTTTCTTCAAAAAAGAGCCATCGAATTCCTTAACACTGTATTTTTACTTGTACTCGTTACACATAGTTCAACTAACCTAGATTTATCATCTATACCTGCGTTTCTCAACCAGGGGGTCTCAACAGGGGTCACATATCAGATATCCTGCTTATCAGGTATTTATTATTCATAATAGCAACAAAATTAAAGTTATGAAGTAGTAACAAAAATAATTTTACAGTTGGGGTCAACACAACATGAGGTTACATCATTAGGAAGGCTGAGAACCATATTATACACATTTTGGTATTTGATCAATGTTTGAAGTATGTTATATATTACTTAGACTTTCTACCTACAGAAAACAGAAAATTTAACTAAAAAATCCCACCAACACACCCAACTAATGGTAAAGGAAGAAAAAAAGGAACAAACATAAAACCATGATCCACACTTCTCACCCTGGAAAGCTGCCCCAGGCTTGGGCTTAGCTGCATTCTCTTTGCAGAGCAGCTGACAGTGAAAGTGATGCATTCAGACACGAGGACAGCCTGTCAAAGAGGAAAGCTGCGCGCTGCTGCCCACACTGTCTAGTTCTATACTGTGTCCTAAACATATTCTAGAACCTTGACAACTAAAATGTTGTATTCAAAACATAAGTACCTTAGCTGGGTAGTTACAGCACACACCTTTAATCAACCACTTGGGAGGCAGAGGCAGGAGGATTCCCTTGGTCTACATTCCAGCCTGGTCTACAGAACAAGTTCCAGAACTGTTGTGGAATAATCCTCTTATATACTATAAAGATTTGTCACTCAAATTGGTTTAATAAAATGCGGACTGGCCAGTAGTCAGGCAGGAAGCATAGGGAGGGCGACCAAATTAAAGATGACAGGAGGGGCTGGAGAGATGGCTCAGCGGTTAAGAGCATTGCCTGCTCTTCCAAAGGTCCTGAGTTCAATTCCCAACAACCACATGGTGGCTTACAACCATCTGTAATGAGGTTGGGTGCCCTCTTCCGGCCTGTAGGCATACATGCAGACAGAATATTGTATACATAATAAGTAAATAAATAAATATTTAAAAACAGGAAGGAGAAGGGCAGAGTCAGGAGACACAGGCTGGACGCAGAGGGAGTAAGATGGGAACGCCATAATGAGAAAGGGTACTGCCACATGGCAGAGCAAAAATAAGGAATATGGGTTAACTTAAAATGTAAGAGCTAGTTAATAATAAGTCTGAGCTAGTGGGTCAAGCATTTATAAATAATATTAAGCCTCTGTGCGGTAATTTGGGAAGCGGCTGCCCATCACTTGGGACTGAGCAGTTGAGACAGAAAAAAACTTACGCCAACAAAGAACAGTCAGGACTACACAGAGAAACCTTGTCTTAAAAAAAAAAAACATAAATACTTTAATAACAAACTAAGTAAAATAAAAATGTAAATACAAATAAAAACACTCTTTGCATTAAATCTCCCGGTATATGAACAAATATTTAAATGGATTTAGGATTTGACCACACTCTACCTAGATAACTACAAAGAAATGCTGACAGCAAGTACAGAATTAGTAAGTCAGCAAAAATAAGCAACTAGACACAGAACTCAAGAAATGAACCTTGCTGAAACATTAAATCTGTTTACTTTTGCATTGTTAATGCCATTCCCCCACCCTCCAATAATAGCCACTGGATCACCTCGGTAGCACTTCTCTCTAGGGTACTTACAGGGGACAGGAGACCTCACTCTACTGCAGAGATCATTTTACGACTTTTAAGGAAAGTACCATAAAGAAGGTAAACACTCATTAACCACTGTATAGATAGCAAGAGAGGCTCCAGCGGCACAGCCAATTAGTGCCAGGTACTTACACAACAAGTACAAATGTTGACAGTTACCCTGCCTGAAATATATCCTCAAATGTAAGACTGCTTCTTACATGTCCACAGTGCTCTCCTTCCCTAAGTACATACCTTTAGGAACTTGGTGATGATGTCCATGTCCTTATGATCGTCACCTTTCCCTAAGGACTCCCCCAGGGCCTGAAGAGAAAGAATAATTGTTCTGTTCACTACCGCAGAGCAGTTTTTCAAAGGTGTATGAGAGTGTGTGCATGACCAACAACAGATTAAAAGAGGCTTATCACACATATCGGTCCATTTTTATTTTAGAATTTGTTGAAACTTCTAGACAAGTCATGCCCAAAAAAACCTGCTGCATGTTTCTATTTGGAGACTGTGCTGCCTTTTATGAATTGGAAAGATAAGAAGAGTCAGCAAGAAGGCTCAGTAGGTAAAGGCAACAGGTGTCTGACGAGGCAAGCCTGACAACCCGAGTTCAAGTCTCAGAACCCAATAAAGGTGGGCAGAGAGAATCGAGTCCACACCACACAGTGGCAGGTGACCCCTGCCAAACATGCACACACCATATATGCCCACAATGATAGTTCAAAACATCGTAAAGGCTTTCATTATTTTTAGCTACGTATCTCTGTTTGGATATGTGCGTGAGAGCAGGTGTTCACAGAGACCAGAGCTCAACAAGGGTGCTGGGAACCACACTTGCAAGAGCAGTGCACGGTATTCTTAACAGCTGAGCCACCTTGCTGGCCCCAATTTTGTAAATTTAATATAAAATATCAGTGACTGTTAACAGATCTGGGCATTACCCAGGCAGGTAAAAATGGCCTAACGTCGGATTGTGCTGGTGGTGACAACACCCTGTGGATGTGGATTATAAGCCACTCAATTATATACTTTATTTGGGTAAACTGTATAGGCTGCAAATATCTTAAGATTGGGAAGGAGGGAAGGAGCCTGACTGACAGTGATTGCTCAGTCCAGTCATTTAGGCAAAGGTTACAAACCACCTTAAGCAAGTGATGGGAAGAAAAGGACAGTCAAAGGACAACCTTCTCAACCATGATCTCTAGTGAGATCACTACATGTGCCGGAGCCAGAAACTAAGAAAACAGAAATAACAGCTTATGTTGTATTCAAGAAAAAAAACCTGTAAGCTGTATTTGTTACACCCTAGTCACTTACATGAGGCAATATTGTTTCTTCATAAAGACTACACATATTCTACATGCAACACAGTGACAAAATCAGTGCTGGGTAATGGCAGCAACGCAAGGCACAGCCCCTCATGTGCTGCTAGTAGGGTTATATACTGGGACACCATGCCAGAGAGCAGCTTGGCTGTACACAGACAAATTAAATATGTGTGTTTAAGCTCCATGATTCTGCTTCAGTCCTTGTCTGTGGCTAAGAAGGAGCTGAGAACAGCCAAGCTGTCCACTATAACAAGGACACTAAAATACAGGAATGCCATAATATTTAGCCAATTCAAAGAAAAAAAAAACACAACATGGATCTTAACAGTATGCAATAAGATAAAGATTACACAACATGGTTATTACGTTATCCGTGCATAAAAACTGCGGTCTTTAAAAAGCACCACAGCAAGTGAAAGGATGCACATCAAACATTCCAATGATGATTTCTAACGGCGGGAAGTACAGAAATGTAAGTGAATGAGAAAAAGAAAAACAGAGACCTAAACCAATAAAGCGCCTTCAACGACAATGGAGTACGCTGTGCAGGAACACTGCTCCCGAGGAGGAAGAGACGCGGCAAACAGCCGGGGCTGGGGTAGAGATTACCTCTAATTCTTCAATGGTGGTGTTTTCTTCATGAACTTTCAAGTCATTCTGTGTGTCCTCCTCTCCGGGTTCCTGACCACCCACAATCTCATTCAAGTACTGCTGGTCAATCTTGTCCAAAGCTGCTTTCAGATCATTCCTTAAGCCCTACAGAAGGGGAGAACCAGAAGGGTGCCTGTCAGGAAACCTCACTGGGTGTGATATGTGATCTTCCGCTGATATCAAGTACACTCCAAGCTGAGTCACAGCTCAGTCAGCAGAGTGCTTGCCTAGCATGCACAAAGCTCCCCAGTACCCTAGACACGAGTCATGGGAGGTAGAAGCAGGAGGACCAGATGAGTCAGTTCAAGACCAGCCTGGGCTACATGAGAACTTGTCTCAACTCCCCTCCCAAATCTCACCCCGAAAAGTACATTGCATGTTAAGAGCTTGTCAAAACTAGGGACTCAAACAAATCAATGCAATATACTGACACTAGTATCACTCAAAAGTTAATTATGATAAACATATTTAAAACAATGTATTTTAAAACAGCATTATCCAATCTAATGCTAGGAAAAATGAAAACAGACATGAGTTACAAATCTAAAAATTTGTATCATTAATGCCACTATGTTCTAATAACAAAGCTTCCCCCCTCCATTTCCTCTATGGAGGACAGCAGGCCCTCAGAAGACAACAGCCAAACAGGACAGGGCAAGAAACAAAGAGAGAGGGCAAAGACCCTCTCATGTGGAGGCTAGAAGGTACCCAAGGGAAGAGAGGTGTCTCGGGAACAGGCAAAGAAGTCGGAGATCCACCCGCTCCCACTGCGGTGGATCCCCACAAGAACACCAAGCAAGGGTCCACTGTGTCAATCCATTCTCTCGTTTGTTTTGAAGAATGATGCTAGTTTACTTGAAGCACAATTTCAGAACAATGGCATGCTTGTATTACTGCAATATTTATTTGAAGATTCTTGTAATTTGTTTTTTGCAACCTTATAATGGCTTTTATAAGAAAAATTATTGATCTAGCCTCATATTTTTAGTGATTTTATTGTTCGAATAATGCACACATGGTATGTTTCTTAATGTAAGGAAAAGACAGCTTTTATCACGATATATTAAAATAATTTCTACTTTGGTCCCACAAATGTTTTAAATATTTGATTTTATACTACACAAGAATCATCTTCATCTAAGACAAGCTGAGAACAATTTGTTTCGCCGTGTACACACCCTTTGTTAATGGTAGATTTGGTGTAAGAATTCACAGGTGAGCATAAAAGAAAATTCATAAACAAATACTTCAGTGAAATGCCATTGGGCATGTAGTTCCTTCCTTTGGCTCATTCCCCAGACTGTCTTCCATAGGATGACACTAACTGGATGCTGTATGAAGTACTATTTATACCTGTTGAATTTCTACCTTCTCAAATTGTGGATGGGTCAATCACGAAATTCTTATAATTTACTATGTTATAAAGTATAAGAGTGAATAAGCAATTGGATTTTTAATTATTACAATGTAGCCAAAATATAAGACTGTTAAATTAATCTTAATCTATTAGTTTATCACATAGTTTTTCATATAACACAGGACAGAAAGTTTGCTAGAGTTAATGAATAATAAATCATAATTTTGATATTTAATTTATTTATTAATTTTTGAACTCCTAGACATTATTGGAAGAATACTATAATTTAGAGCAAGTACAAATGTGCTTTATATTTTGGCAGAGGAGATTAAACAAGAGGAATAGAAAACAGTATATACCATTAGTACTTCAAGTAAGATATACCTTGCTAGCTGTTTAGTTTAATTTTATAAGTGGCACTACTATGTTTCATTGTCTTGTCAGTGCATGCAGGATATTTAACAATTTCATCCAAATATCACCTTGCATTTATTTGCTGATATTTTGTTTGGGTTGCTGGTATGCATGACATTTTATAATGAGGTTTATTGCATGCTTATAGTGAAGTATATATAGAAACATACATGGTTACCCGCCTATTACTTTGAGAATTAGAAATATCAACATTCAGTGTGCTCTTATAGCATTGCTATTTTTTAAAAATACAAATTATATTGCTGTATCAACAGAAACAAGAATTCTGTATCATTTAAAATATAAATTATTCTAAGAAAAGACAGACAGACGGACACTGGGTCTCATGAGAAGCCCCCAATCCATTTTACCATGTCCTACAAGTCAAACCTCATTTCAACCACTCTTGAACTCCTTTACATCAATGGAATAAACCTGGTGTCTCTTTAAGCTTAGGCTCTAAACTTGTTTCTACCAAAGTATCAAGTTCCACATCCAGTGTATTTCCTGGCTTGGGTATTTAACTAAAAAGAGAAAGGGGTCAGCTCCTTAAGCACTGGCTGTGAGGTGAAAACGGAAGATGCCATGCGGTAGTGGTTGACAGCAAAAGTGATTGGTTCAGACCTATGCTGTGTGTGAGGCTTCAGAACTTACTTTTATTAGCTGCAACATTTGTAAACTAGGAATAATTCCTCCCACTATATAGACTCCTTACAAGAAGTAGTTGTTGCTTTTTTATTTAACTTTACAGTGTGCTAGGACTGTTCCCAAAGCCTTGCAAAATACAAAGTTCCTTCAAAGAGTTAATAAATGCACAGTGTAATTTCATCAGCTACTGTAGCACGGTAAGAACCTGAAAGATGTTAGACTCTTAAGGTTGTTATACTAGAGGTGTCGGAACATTTCCTACCAACATCTCATCAACACAGAGAAACACTCAATGCTATTACTTTTAATTTAGCAAACACTGACTACTTGCTCTATGTAATGTACAGGACCAGGTTCCAAATGGTTACCTCATTTAATTCTCAAAACACCCCAGTGAGCCGGAGGTCCCACTGTCTCTGTTTCAGAAGCAAGACTGGAAAAGGTCAGAAGACTTGCCGCTGGTCCACACCTAACCATTCCACTTCAGGAATAGAATCCATACCCTTATCCCTATCTGCCGTCCTCAACCTTCACAAGTGAGGCCTCAGCCACAAATACAAAAACAGAACAGCCCCTGACCTCCAGGATGGGCTACGCATGCACAGAACTCTGGCATCAGTGAAATACACTACGTGCGCCAGCAGAGATTTATTGTAGGAACACAGAGAAGGGAGCAACTAATTCTGATGGGGACTGCGGATAAGTTAAAAAAAAAAAAAAAAAAGGAATTCTTGCATTGTGTCTAGAAGAACAGAGGACTATCTCCAGACACATTTTGGAGTGAGCCTCAGCAAGCACATCATTATAGACACAGAAGTCCACAAATATCCCAGGGACTGAGTACCACAGGGCTGACTGGCACTGCTAGGATACAACACAGAAAGTGGTGTGGAAAGGAGGAAAGCAGACAGGAAGCACAAACTAGCAAACAAAACACGTGGAACAAGCCCACCAGCTGGCCCCCAGCTACCCCACTGCTCTGACTGAGACTCCAAGCCAGCAACCACTTCTATCTGAAGTCACTTCTGTCATGAAGACCTTAGGCAAGGGTCCGCCTAGCCTAGCCTAGCCCATGAATCGTCAGAACTGAGTTTGTCTAGTGTCATTAAAGTTATAAAATAACCAGGGAAGACTTGATATTAATAATTGCTTCACAGCACCAAGTTTTGGAACAGTCTGTTACACAGCCACAAACAACCACACACACCTTTCAGTAATTAACAGTTAGCGGATAAAACATTAACGAAGCCCCAGAAGAGCTGAACAAGCACAACCCTAACTGACATGTAGACCCAAACAGCCAAAGCAAAGCTGCATCCTTTCAGGAGCGCGCGGAAGAGAGCAGATGCTGAGCACAAGCATAGCCACAGCCTCCATGTAAAATCTACTACAACGGCTACTTCTAGAAGACACAGAGCATCTCTTCAAGTCCTTGGCATATACAAAGAATTCTCAAACAGAACACAAAACTTACAACCATAAGAAAAATTTAAAAATTACATTTCAAAAAACAGTCAACTGTGACTTCATCAAAATTTAAAACTTCTGCTCAGCAACACTTCATTATAAACATACATAAGTAATGCACAGGCTAGGAAGAAATAACTCCAAAGGGCTTATACACAGCACATATAAGCAACTCCTAATTAATAAAAAGACATTAGCCAGGTGGTGGTGGCTCATGCCTTGAAACCCAGCACTCATCTACAAGCTAGTTCCAGGAGACAGGACCATCTTACAGAGAAACCCTGTCTCAAAAAACCAAAAGACGGATGGATGGATGGATGGATGGATGGATGATAAACAAACAAACAAACAAACAAATAAACAGATGTTGATAAAAGACAAATAATTCAATTAAAAACTGAACAAGGGGATTTAATAAACCTGTGACGGTTAATCTTGTTGATGGACTTTATGGAAACAAATCTCTGAGTATAGCTATGATTATCTAGACTGGGTTAAGTGAGGCTGGACACCCACACATCCCATGGCCTGTGGTCCCAAACAGAACAAAGAAGAAAAAGAGGCAAACATCAGCACAGCACACATCCCTCTGTTCCTGACTGTGTGTGCAATGTGACTGATGGCCTCCTGCCCAACTGAACTATATCCCTCGAAAGTGCCACCAAAATAATTAACCTTAAGCTGCTGTGTTAGGCGCTATGTCATAGTAATGACACAGCACAGACACCGTACAAAGGAAGGTAAGTATGAAAAGATTCTCATTTATCTTCAGTCACTAGGGACATGAGATTTTACACACACGAGAGAATGGTGAACAATCCCATACGCTGATCTTCAGAAATGCCTGGCACTTCTTATACAGCACACGTTTAGTCTCACCACTGAGAACGCTGCTTGTAGCGAGTACTAGTACTGAGAGTGGGGAGACCTCTCCCCCCTCCACGAACCACTGCATGTGCACATTCAGGGTAGTTCTATTCACAGCGGCCCAAAGCTAGAGATGAGCACCCATAACTAAGCATAACTGTCCTCCATAGCAAAGATAGCACTTTAAAAAATGTCATGCTGAGCAAAAGAAACTAGATAGTCACTCTTGGGTCTCTCCATATGAAACACTAAAAATGAAAATACAAAAGCAGGAAGCAAAACTCAATTCACGGTGTCTTAATTCAGAAAGGTGCTGCCTGTGAGCAGAGACGGGACACAGGCATTGGGTGATAAATATATTCTTTATCCTTATATGCTCACGTGTATTTGTTAAAATAGACTGAATGCAATGCCTAAGTTACACTTCCCTTAAAAACAGTTATTTCAGCAGCACTAAGCAGACACTATTTCCTCCTATTCGCCTACAATATTGCGATCAGTCAGATCTCACTCTGCCACAGCTCCTGCAGTACTGTCCATACCCACACTGTTCCCGTCCTCGCCTACAATAACACAATCCGTTAAAGCCCATCTACTCCAGCTTACATGGTGCCGTTCTGTCTGTAGCTTTGACTTCTCACCTTGTTAACTTCAGGTGTAAGAATCTCTATCTTTCTTAAACGTTGGAAAGCATCATAATCGGTTTCTCCAAACAGTCTAATTGGTTCTCCTCTTTCTCTCAGTCTTCTGATGACCTATGAAAATATACAAAGGAGACTTCAAAGAGAGAAAAAAATTAAATATCTCAAAACAATTTGCATATACGTATCTTAAAATGAAATCTAAGTTTATAAGTATAATATAATTACCCAAATAAATGTTTCTAAGTGAAATATAAAGTCCTTCAATTTTTTAAAATGTATTTGCGAGGGCAGACAACCATGAAGCATGTGCAGAGGACTCAGTTCTCTCCGTCCACCACGTGGGTCCCAGGGAACCAACTGAGGCTGTGAGGCTCCACAAGCAAGCACGCTGAGAGTCAGTATGACAGTCCCAAGATCCTTCAAGCAAATCTTAATCATCTATCTCATAACAGATATTTGTGAATGAAAGGGGAAAATACTTTAAATAAAACACTATTTTGACTTAAATATCCCATATATTATTTTACAAAAAAATTCCTATCAAGTCGTCTGACATAGGAATCTATAATGCAAATCTAAAGCAAGCCCTTAATATAAGCATCCAGTTTCTACAGACACACAAGACGCCCATAGACTTGTCAGAACATAGCATAAAGGACACACTGTTGGCCCTCATCTCATGTGATTATGACTGCTTAGGCCGTTCTAAAAGCATGTGTGGATACATACTTTAGTGTTCAAACACTATTTTGAAATATAGATTGTTTAAAAAAGCAAAAATCTGGTCAGGTGGTGGCAGCACATGCCTTTAATCCCAGCACTTGGGAGGCAGAGGCAGGCAAATCTCTGTGAGTTCCGGGCTAGCATGGTCTACAAGAGCTAGTGCCAGGACAGACTCCAAAGCTACACAGAAACCCTGTGTCAAAAAACAAAAACAAAAAAGCAAAAATCTGTATTTGCTTTTCCTGGATTTATACAACAGACATGCTATATGTTATGATGACACTTTAAGCAACAAACAGTTTAGGTCCTGTCTTAGGTAGGGGAATATGTGCAGGAGGTCGGTCACAAAAGATTAACACGACGATGGGGGAGGACAGTAAGAGCAGAATAAAGGTAGGCACTGCGATACCACAGTCAAACCCAGATCCTGTCCTCACGTGAGAAATGACTTGTGATTACAACGGCCACATGTAATACAGTATGGGAACTACGTCAGATCTTGACCTGGCTGATAGCTACATGGGTTTTGTTTTGGAATTAGTCAATACACTGCACATACACATATTCTGTGCTTTGAGTAAATATTTCACTTAAAAATAAGAAACAAAATATGTGCCGGGCAGTGGTGGCGCACGTCTTTAATCCCAGCACTTGGGAGGCAGAGGCAGGCGGATCTCTGTGAGTTCAAGACCATCCTGGTCTACAAGAGCTAGTTCCAGGACAGGCTCCAAAACCACAGAGAAACCCTGTCTCGAAAAAGCAAAAAAAAAAAAAAAAAAGCAAAAAAAAAAGAAAAGAGAAACAAAATATGCAATCGAGAAAATAAAGGTTTATCTAAATTAAAAAATAAGAAAATAAAAATCATGAAGAACTTCTTTATAACTTTATCTGGATAAACTTTCAAATCTCCTCCAGCTTTCATATGGTAGCTTCAAGAGTCAGTCTACATTTCCTCGAAGGCCTCCTTCCTTCTCTGTGGTGTCCACGTGAATGAGGACTGAAATATAACCTCCCAGTGCACATTCGCCTTCCTCACTGCCTTTCCATTCAGTCCTAACCACAATTAGACACGAAAACACGCACACATATTTATAAGGCATCACAAAAATGAAAGATCACTGAGTCAGAAATTTAAAGAACCTAAAATATAAAAAGAATTGAGTTTACATTACAACACCATTACCAAATGGAAACTATTAACAACAAAGCAAGCAACTATAAAATATGCAATACTTACGACATCTATTTAAGTAGGGATTCCCATCTATCTGGGATTATATGACAGTAGTTATGCCTAAAGGCAGGGAATAAACTATCTGTCCTCAAAAAATGTATAAGAATTCTATCATTCTAGAGACAGAGACCCACATTGGAGCAATGGACTGAGCTCCCAAGGTCCAAATGAGGAACAGAAGGAGGGAGAACATGAGCAAGGAGGTCAAGACCGCGAGGGGGGCACCCATTCACTGAGACAGTGGGGGCTGATCTATTGGGAGCTCACCAAGGCCAGCTGGACTGGGACTGAAAAAGCATGGGATAAAACCGGACTCTCTGAATATGGTGGACAATGAGGGCTGCTGAGAAGCTAAGGACAATGGCACTGGGTTGTGATCCTACTGCATGTACTGGCTTTGTGGGAGCCTAGCCAGTTTGGATGTTCACCTTCCTAAACCTGGATGGAGGGGGAAGGACCTTGGACTGCCCACAGGGCAGGGAACCCTGACTGCTCTTTGGACTGGAGAGGGAGAGGGAGGGGAGGGGGTGTGGGGAGTGGGAGGAGGGGAGGGAAAATTTAAATTTAAAAAAAAAAGAATTCTATCATTGGCCGTGTGGTGGTAGCACACGCCTTTAATCCCAGCACTCAGGAGGCAAAGGCGGGTGGATCTCTGTGAGTTCAAGGACAGCCTTCCAAGGAAGGAAAAAATCATGGTGCGGTGCAAATACATGTTGAGAAATTAAGCAGACATTAAAAGCTATGTAGCACTAAAGAAAAAGAGGGAGAAAAGTTACTTAGAGCTATGTTTTAATTTGAAAATATGGACCAGGAAATAAGGAAAGATGTAATAAATAGCAAAAGGGTATCATTTAAACGATTTTGATAATATTTAGTATAATTACTTAGATTGTGTCATGTATTTAAAATACACTCTCTAAAAGAGAAAGACTACTGGCTGGTGGAGTAAGGCACTTGATGCACAAGTCTGGAGGCCTGGGTTTGAGGCCTGGGACCTATGGGAAGGTAGAAGGTGAAAACCAATTGCACAAGGCTGCCATCTGCCTTCCACATGTGTGTCCTAACACACACGCCCACACACTCACACAATAATGATAAAGTGTGTATGTGGAGGGTGTTTTATTCATGTTTTCCCTGTGTGTAGGTCTGTGTACATGTGGGCCTGGAAACCCAATTCTGGTCCTCTGGAAAAGCAGCCACGCCTTTTAACACCTAAGCCACCCCTCCAGTTCCTGTTTCATTCTGAAGTAAGAATATTGTCAAAGGAAGCAGAGATTTAGAAGTTCATGAAAAAACTGTCTGGCCACAGAAGATTTTTAAGTCGAATCATCTCATTTTGGAAATACCAAAAGTTATGCAAATCCAGTACAAATGTTTTTCTTTCTAACTATAAAATACTCAAATATAACCTTACCTCTTGCCTAGAAAGAGTCATGGGTAGTTTTTCCTCTGCTAGTTCAAGTTCCAACACTGGATTTGATGACGTCAGCGGTTTCTGGTCTTCCTCTTTTGGCTGTATCTAGGATAAGAGCCCAAAGAAATGAAGTTTAAACTTACAAGGCATGTCTACTCGCCAGCTATGGCCTTAGCCACCCATGGAGGAAGAGTGGTTAGCCTGAGGGCTAACTTCCTGTTGCTCTGCGCAGGCCGCGGAGCAACCGTGCATGCTTTCGGAGCTGCTCAGACACCGGTTCAGGAACATGACACGAGGAAGGCATGCACATGGGCGAGCGCGTTCTTGCTACAAAGGAGTGGATAACTACAACCGCTTCTGAGGCAAAACCTAAGAGCGCTTAAATCTAAACTCAATTTCTCCCCAGATGCTACAACAGCCCACCTTCGTCTTGAAAACAATCACTCTGTCTCTCCTCTGTGAGAAATTCCCCTCCAGGGTAAGCCATTGCTGCTTGCCTGTACAATGGAGGCTAAGGAACTGCTTCCCAGCAGCCTGTGGGGCACCAAGCCACAGCACGTCCTGTTTTGCTTCTTCAGACGTATTACTCCAACCTCGGATAAACCACACCCTAGGCATGCTGAAGAATGCTGAGGGCTGTGCACACTGGATCACAGAATGAGCTGCCAACCTCGAAGAAAAGGAAGGAAGCCTGCAATGCCACCCAGGGAGCACAGACACTTTTGCTCACAGGAACCGACAGGGGGCAGCGTTTTCATCTATTTTCCATATTCGGGCAGCAGTCTCAGTCACAAACTGAGAAAACTGAGTCCAGCAACTATAAACCTCACTGTGCAGCCTGGAAACATCCTGAAGTGTGGTTTCCATTCAACCACAAAATAAGTTTAAAATTCAGAAGTAGGACTAAGATTCAAAACATAAAGATCAGCTTTAAGAAACTACTATTCCATTAAGAAAGTCTGTACAATAAAAATCATGCAATTCATAACACAATAGCTTCTGGTTAAAGGTAAAGAAAAAGAGAGATAAAAATTAACTTTTTGAATACTTACACAGGTCAGTCCAGCACCAGCCTTAACATGGTGTCTGGCCTCTACAAGGGAGCACATACTTTACTGCCACTACTGGGGGGGATGTTAAAGAGCAAAGCCACCCCTCTCTTTAATCACGTAGTCAGATGTCTTCGCTCTAGGAGCTGATGGCCACTGACAGCCTGGGACAAAGACCTAAGACATCCTGCAGTTGGTTTCAAGGCTGTCGCCAAAAAAAAATATTTTGCTTCACCCCCTTCTCCTTTATAGAAGAAACAGAAAAACAAAACCAAACAAAACACCCTGCTCACATCACCAAAAGGACCTACACAAAGCGAAAGTCACACTAATTAGACTATTACCCTACCTTCTCCAAAGGTAGCAAAGGTTCACACTTACAGATCAAGTCAGCAGAGAAATGTATAATAAAGGATTCTCACTCTAGGCCACGCCTGGGCATGATACTGGGCAAGCAAAATATGAGAACCCTTCTTTCTACATTTCTGCTCAGTGTTATTTATAGAAAACGTCTTTTACTTTCCTAAACTAGAAGCAAATAAAGTATCTTTACAGAAAACTAACAAAATACAAATAGAAACTTTTAAACATCTATCTTTAAAAATATTCCTTTGTATTCCAACAGTAAAAAATAAAGCCAAATGCATATGGAAAGCATTTACATTCTTCATGCTTTCCTCTAGAAATGCTATAAATTCATTTCCAGAACTTCCGCCATTCCATGCATTCCACCAACAAATGAATGACTGCGTATATTTCGGTCAGCCCGTTACCTGTGAGCTAAGAGTCAGCTAGTCTGCTGGAAGACGACTGAAAGGACTTCTCGGCCTTACAGGTTTTCCCATCCCCGTGAGTGCCCCAGACATTATCAGCTTGAAAGACTGTTTCAGTCATGAATCTAAAGGTCACTAAGGAGGCCTTTCTGAGAGCTCATTTATTTAAAATTCTTCTTCTGACTAAGAGACTATACAGCATCACAAATGTTTCCTCATGTTTAAAAGAAACAAAAGCATACAAAGGGTAAGTATTCCATTAGACAAGAGTACTAGCTGGGCCTAAGAGGAATTAACAATAATACTAACATAAACCAACCGCTTAAAGTACTCAGGAGGAAGCTGCTAATACAATCAAGGCTGAATGAATAAAGTGTTTTGAGTTTTTTCAAAACACATTATTTTATTGGGAGAGGTAGGGGAGAGTGGTGGTGGAGATGAAGATACAGCAGTATCAGAACCAGGGCTTAATTAAAAAAAAAAAATTCAAGCTTCGATCTCAAGCCAGTTCATGCTGTCCACAGAAAGCCAAACCATTCCAAGCCAAAAGTCATGCACGTATTTTCCTGAATTCAAGATCTGTTTTTTTAAGCCAAACCAAAACCAAAAACTCATACCTCTCCAGATGGCTTCTCATTTATAGGCTAATGTATAACATTGATAAATTGAACAGAGATCAATAATTTTGTTATTTAGCAACAGCTGTATAAATTTAAGAAATGTTAGATTTAGCATAAAACCTTGAACTTATACCTTATAGCCACATCTTTCAAAATATGCTTCTTCTTCTTTTTTTGCAAGTTCACTCCGCTTGAAATATTTTTTATTTTCCTATCAAAGTAAAAAAAAACAAAAACAAAAAACAGTAAGTTAATAACGTATCCTTGACAGAAATGCATGCCCCATAGATAGCAACACTCTTGAAAACACTTTCAGTTTCCAAGAATTTGGTCATGTTTTTAGTCTGGAGATCATCACACTGAGACCCTGTGTTCTGATGTGTGATAAATTTTCAACTATTTCTCTTGAACTGTAATAGGAGTTCTCACAGCAAAGAGAATATACCAAGTGTATTTTCAAAATGTTTTTCCTTTTCATTCACTTTCCTAACATCTGAGAGTTCACCGACAATTCTACAGATTTACGATGAACAACACAGAGCTATCCCTTTGCTGTTTTCTCCTGACCAGAACAGAAATTACGGCGTACAGCGCCAGCTCAGGAGCTCTCATCAATATGGGCGCTGAAAAGAATGTGTAAGGTCTCCTCCCCTGGAACCAGTCTCACCGTATCAATTCTGGGTTTTGCTTGTGATAACTCCTCCTTGGCATCACATGAAAATCTGACTCAAAATGTTCTGGATTAAGCAGCATTCCATAAAAGACTATAAACTTTCAGAAGATGCCACCTTTACAGTTTACTAAACGTCTCAAGCATGCAGAAGGGCTGGGTCACGGGCCAAAGGTTCACATAACTTTTAAGAAACTGCTCATCTACTTTCCACCTGGTTACACTGTTTTAATGTCCCAACAAGACAGAGGAAATAACCATTAAATAAATGACAGACTGAAGACAGGTACAGGACTGCAGCCCTTGGAAGGCTGAGGCATCACTTCAAAGTCAACCTGGATGACAAAGCAAGACAGCAGAGCACGAGCTGACAGAGAGGAGGGGAGGGAGAGGGCGAGGACACAAACCAACTGGCGGTGACTCCCCACGGCCGAAACAAGCAATGCTAGTCCGGCAGTGGCTGTGGAGAAGGTCTACCGGATCACATTCTTAACTGGTGCCTGGTGCTGCCATCTCAAGGTTCACCCTGGACACCATGGTGGATATGCTTCATCAGAAGCTGCCATGAGCAGCTATAAGACTCACGAACGGTTTCAAATACTTCTACCGGTGCAGCCAGAAATGCTGCCGAGGATTTAAGGCAAGTTCATGACCCAAGGCAAGTTCAGAAATCAAGAGGAAGGGGACCCGGAAGCTGTCATGAACTGCTTGGATAAGACCACAGAGAAACACCTTGGCGACACAGGGAAATCCCATGGTCCCTACTTCCTGGAGCTCTGAGCACCCAGCAGTACCTTGTACAGAACAGGAGGAGACCAGGCACCAGCAGCTGGCTGATGTCACCCTGGCTGGGTGCAGTCAAGTCCACACCCACCAGCATCTGGCAGGCTATAGAGAGAGCAAGGAAATAGCTCGCTGACTCCATCCTGCCCTGGCACACGCAGGTCTGGGTATACTAGCATCTGTCATCTATACAGGCTGCATAGGGAAAGCAAAGGAGTTGCTGTCAACTCTGAGGCCACCAGAGTGAGGAAATGGCTGGGATCCCAGAGCAGAGGGCGATCAGAAGTCGAAGCCGGTGGTCAGCACGCTGGGCCGGGAGTGTTTCCTGGTATGGCTGAAATAGTGTAGGGTGCCTATGCCTAAGCATTAGTGAAGGCCTCACCACTGTGCGGCTAGGGACACGGACACACAGTGACAGGGACATGAACAAGAACACACACATACGCACCCCTACTCAGATTCCTGGTGTTACCTTCCATCTGGAGGATTGGTGATCTGCTCCCAATTTTCTCTCCTGGAATTTTAGGTCGCATCTATGCTCATCTCTCTGGTTCCTGATCATCCCCCTATACACACCCTACTAGGCTATTTCCAATCTATCCTGATTGCCTTGTTGTTGATGAGCCCAAGGGCCCCTGCCATGCTCCCTCATCCATAAATATAAATGTCCTGTCTCTGTCTCTCTGAAACACACACAACTTTTATTCATCAAAAGAAACTATTAATGAAATAACAGATAGCCCAATCTATTAACCCACTCTATTACCTAGCAGTTCTAAAGAGATTAAAACAAAGCTTCCCGAAGGTTCGGAATTTGCACAATCTAATCTTAGAAACAGCTCAAATACTCATCACTAGGAAGATGGCTAACTGGGTCTATTCAGACAACAGAATGCAACTTCAGAAATAAATTTAAAAAAATACATGCAGCAGAATGAGAAATACTCAAAACACTCTGATCAAATGAGGCTCCATATAAAAATGTACATCCTATTTATGTGAAATTCTACAGCAGGCGAAACCAAGGTGGGAAGACACCGGAGCCGCACATAAAAACTTTTGTACACAAACAAAAAAAAGAGTAACAGATAAGCAGTGAACTCTATGACGTGTGCCAGACTGCTTAGTAAAGCGTACTGCCTCTCCGCAACGTGATCTGGAACGTCTCATGGCCCGAAGTTGTTTTTATTACTCTACCTGCAGCTGGTGTCGGTTAGGAGAGCAAGCGCTGAAGTGACCCAGACCAGGGTTCAAACCCACTCTTCCTAGCTACTGGTTGACAACCTGCCCCAGTGTGGCAGATCAGTCAACCCCACGCCGGGACCAACTCCTCTCAGTCCATCACCCTTACCCCAACACCCAGCCACACACAAGAACACGAGCCTCGAGTCCAAACTCCACAGCCAAAGGACCCTCACCACTAGCAGGTTCCTGTCCTCCACCAGCTGCCGCTTCCGCAGAATCTCCGACTTGAGGATGTCCATCTCGCCGCCAGTGACGGCTCCACTTTGCCGTCACGGCTTCTTGGCTGTAACTTCACCCTCGCAGGCGGGACGAACCGCCCTACAACCGGAGCCCAAATATCAGAGGACAACAACTACCGGAGCAGCTTCCGGCGGAAGTCAAGATGAACGAGAGGACAAAAGGGAGCAGCCTCACGCCCATCCCCGCCGACGCCAGTGAAGTCGCTGGGTATTAGTGCCCCCTAGCGTCACCCTCCGGTTACTCTCTTGTGATTTTGGTAGACAGGTAGAAAAGAACAAAAGCCAGGCGTCCTTGTCGGTTTGTCTCCTTTTTAATTGTTACTGTGCCCGTTGAATCTGCTTGTTTGAAGGCTCCTTGTAGACTTCTCAATTGTGTAAGGCAAGATCTTATTAGAAGTTTGTTTCATATTTCTCGCGTTACTGGCATGCCAAGAAGTTGAACATACTAGTGAATGAGAAAAATATGAATAATACTAGTTTCAAAATGGCAGTATTCATTAATTATCTGTTCAATGTTCTGTAATTTTATGCTGCTTTCTGGTTATGTATTCAGCAATCAAGCTTTTCGATGATATATTGGCGATATATCATTCTTTCTTAAAACCCAATCTAAGAAAAAAGTATATTGAAATTTTATTCTGGTTTGTTTTTATTTTGATGGGACTCACTATATTGCCTGGGCTGGTCTCAAATTCCTGATTATCAAAGGAATCTTCCTTCTCCAACTTCAGAGAGCACCACTACACTTGGTAGAGATTTTTTCTTAATCCTAGAACGATTTATAATATATTTATTTTTGGTTCCAAGCCATGAAAGCATTTTTATGTTTAGTCGTCATAATTCAACAATATTTTATGTTACTTTTTCCTATTCCAAATGGAAAGAAATATCATTCAAACTTGACTCTAGGTGAGATGGTTTATCAAAATAGAAACCAAAAGGATTGCTCATTTTTAGTTTAGAGAAAGTTTTATAGTGTGTGTGTGTGTGTGTGTGTGATAGGATTATATTTCATCTAAAAGACAGCCAGCAAGATGGCTGAGCAGCTAAAGGCCCTTGCTGCCAAGCCTGATGACCTGAGTTCAATCCCTGGAACCTACATGGTGTAAAGAAAGATCAACTCCTGAAGTTGTCCTCTGACCACGTCCATATCACAGCACACACGTGTGTCTCTATGTACAGGTGCACATATGTGCAAATGTACAGTAAACGTACAGTAAAAGATGCCTGACTTCTGCCAGGAACAAGCCAACATAGGAAGATGATTCACACCCTAATCTAAAATGCCTTGTTGATTTTTAGAGTTTTTAAAAACTCAAGGGACTTCACAAAATAAACGTCTGTGGATCGAACCTGCTAACATTTCTGTATGCATATTTGTTGCCATGGCTCAAACCATTTTATCAGCATTCTTCCTGTTTAGGAACTAGAGACTGTAGCGCCCAAACCTGAAGTGTAGGCATGGCTGATACTAAAAGTGAGGGTTCACAGAGAACACAAAGGCTTTGCTGACCGGATGGGACACTATTGGCGTACAAGTATCCAAAGTACTAATATCAGAAGGTAACAGTTCCTTTTCAATCTCCAACTTTGATTTTTCTGTTTATGCAAATGTGTTAAATCGTGATGAGGGGCTGTGACCCAAGAATGAAAGAGGTGAATACTTGAAGGAGCAACCCCAGCAGCAATTTAAACTGCAATACAGAGGAGGGAGCGGAAGAAGCCATTCAAGAAATATGTCCCTTCTGCTAGCTAGAAAATATCACAGCATTCCACCACAAATGCTACGTTAAAAGTGAGACATTAGCTATAAAGCAAAGTTCCTACATTGGGGGATGGCTAAATTACAGGGCATAGACACAAATGAATAATATGAAACTACATTTCAAAAAATACTCAGTGAAGGCTATGCTCATAATAGGCTTTCTTCTGAAAGTAGAATAATGAATGTGTCAGGATAGCCTGTAAGAACAGCAAGATGACCCAGCAGGTGGATGGGCTTGTGCGTGGGCCTTCCAAGCTGACTTTGATCCCTGAATCCTATAGGAGGATCAACTCTCAAGAGCTATGCTTCAACCTCAAAACACACACACACATACACACGCACACACACATACACACACATACACATGCACACATGCACAAACACACATACACATGAACATACGCACACACACATACACACATGCACACACACACGCACACACACATACACATGAACACACGCACACACACATACACATGCACACACATGCATGCATGCATGCGCTTGCCCTTTCATAAACACACAATTAATGGATACTTTAAAATATAAGTAAATATAGCATAAACTCTCCAGTGAATAACAAAAACCCGGAAATAAAGTTATTAGAAGGAAATAAGCCAAGATGAAGTTGTTACATAGGCAGTAGATCCACTGGTGAGTTTTAAGCAACTTCTTTTTGCCAGAATTTGGTACAAATTTCAATAACTTGGAAAAAAATCAGTTGTCGTTCATCTCCTGGTTTATTACTGAATTTTTTAAATAGTTTCCCCCTACCTATTTACTTTTGAAATTAAGGATGATCAATTTTAAGTAATTCCTATACAAGACATCAGGGGGTTAGGAAAATAATATTTCAAAGTACTTATGATTGACTTCTCCAGGGTCTGACACGACCTCTCCACTCCTTTAAGTGCTATAGCCCAAACCCAGTGCCAAAGCATAGCTCCTCCCTGTGAAGAAGGTACCAGTGACTTGCAGGGCACAGATAGACCCTGGAAGCTTAGATGTTGGCAAAGCATAGCTCCTACCTATGAAGAAGGTACCAGTTAACTTGCAGAATACAGACTAGGCTCTGGAAGCCTAGATGCTGTCAGGCTTTATGGTTTGGTGATGCATATGGGCCATAGTATTCACAGAAGTTAAAAATAATTCTCTTCTGAAAGATGAAGTATATAAATCAATGCATGGTTGATGAGATTCTTCCTTGGGAGGAGTCATGCATTCTAAGAAATTATCTGTCAGTTTTGGAGACTGGAGGGAAATACCAAATGTTATCAGGATGACCTATGTTTGTTTTGTTGTAATTCTAATGGATAAAACATAACTTATTAAAAAGAAAAGATAAATAATCACACAGCATGGGTCTCAATCTTTAGTGTGCCTGTTGGGTGTTTTTAATCATAAACTGCTGGTTTTCACACTCTGGAATTTCCAAGTGATGCAGCTGCTGCTGACCCATGGGCCACACATCGCGAACTGGTGGTCTATTGTTTTATAATCTCGCTACAGGAAAAGGTTAAGTCAGAAACACAGTCTGTGTCCTATCTTGAGGGAGAGAGGACAGGAGTCGTGTGTCTGTGTGTCTGTGTACTGCAGCATTGCCATAGGTGCCATGTTAGGGTCCTGTCTCCTCTCCAGTGAGATTTCTGACAATCTAATAGAAAGTGGTCAGGCTTCCTTTGGGTCCAGCCATATTTACATGGTTGTTTTGTTAAGTGTAAGTATGAGCAGACACAAAATCCAGTCCAGAGCAGAGGCCCTTCTCCCTTCTTTAGGAAACAGAAATCAGTCTCCCCAAGACTCTTGGAATAAACTGTAAATTTGAGAATAATAGAGGCCATTCCAGTGCATGCTGGAACAAGACTGGTCGGTATTAACGCACAAGAGACTGTTAAGGAATTTTGTGAATCGGTTGTTAAGCATAGCTCTTATTAAAATTTAAGTAAGTTTATCTACAATTAAGCATTACAGGTGTAGGTAACAAGTACACAGAACTCATGATTTTACTACTTGTGCTCTTGGGTGTATGACATCTATATCTTTGAGGCAGGGATCTCTCACCAACTTCTTGCTTGACAATGTCACGTTAGTAGTTTGAAATCAATCATAGGCTGGACCATATGTTCTCCAGAAGAACAGAACCACCAGGATACACATAGATACTATCAATTTTCTTCTTATTACAAGGAGACTGTATCCCAATAAACCCCCTGTGTTAGTTGTTGTTCTTGTTCCTGCAACCAATGACCTGACAAGAAGCAATTTCTGGAAGGAAGATTTTATTTTGGCCTACAGTTTGAGGGGCTACAACTCACTGCATGCAGAAAGTGTGGCAGTAAAAGCACGAAGCAGCGGGTCACATGCTATCTGCAGTTAGGAAGTACAGAGAGGTGAGCGTCAGTGCCCAGCTCATTTTCTCCTTGTAGCTCCTGGGATGGCACTGCCCATAGCCAGCCTACATCTTACCATTCGCTTAACCTTTGTGGAAACAAGCTGATGAATACACCCAGAAATCGGTTTCCATGGTGATTGTAAATCCAGTAAAGTTGACGGTGGAGAGTAAGCACCACAGTCATCAAGAATATCATAATTTGAAAATACGTTTTCAATGCCTACCCTCACCAACACCTGCTGAGCTACACACACACACACACAGTAAGCACTCTGTAGAAAACTGGTTACCACCAAAATCTCAAGATAATATCTTACCAGGTATCACTAATCTGGGGAGAAGATCAAAATCCCGAGTATGGAAATTGGTTCACAAGGTTATGGCAACCTAAAAATTTCCTCTCCATCTGCAAGCTGGAGAGCTAGGAAAGCCAGCACTGTAATCCAGTCTAGAGTTTTGAGAATTTGGGCAGGGCAATAGATCCATACGTGTGTTGGTTAAACCCTGAAGGCCAAGAACTGAAGAGCCAGGAACTCCAGTGACCAAAGGCATGAGATGCTCGTGAAGAAGCCACAGACATATACACAAATGTTTCAGAGGCTGTTTGGGCATCTCGTAGGTCAGGCAAGTAGACACATAACACTAACCACAGTGGGAGTAAGTGTGCCACAGAAATTGGGAAATATTACAAGTCAATGCTTAATCTAACATTTTGTTGCTGGTGTAAACTTTTAAAAACTGTGGCTATGTCTCAAAAAATAAGGTGGAGAGTGAGAGAGAGAAACCCGACACTGACCTCTCATCTCCACACACAGGATGCCCCTTCACACTCATATATACAAAAGTATGGGTATAATATTAGTAATGCAGTTTAAGATGCCTCAACCTTGGCAACTCCTCGTCGTGGGAGGGAAGTCTCTGGCCTTTGCTCAGTAGATCGATCAGTAGCATCCCTT